TCTCTCTCTCTCTCTCTCTCTCTCTCTCTCTCTCTCTCTCTCTCTTTCTCTCTGATTGTCATCGCATTTTTAATTCCCGTTCAATAAATCCGACGATCGCCCGATTCTATTGCTACTTGAGCGAGTCGATGTTATTAGCAAATGCAAGGAATGTCGGCGCGACAAGCACCGGCCGCATATACCGCGAGAAAAAACGAGAAGATTACTTACAAATGACGTCTTCACGATACCCCGGCGATCGCACATCGCTATTCTCGACACTCCCGAGACTTATTAAATGCGCGAGACGCACTTTCGACAGATAAAAGACGCGAGGAACGCAGAGCGATGTGGATCGATTGTGCCCATGGCTGCTGCTTGGCGCGAAAAGATCGAACATTTCGCGCGATTCATTACCAACGTCTAGATTGAATAACCAGGATGACAACCTCGTAGTGCGAAACGAACGCGATTAGTCTAGAGTGGTTAGTAACTCGAACAAGTGATTAAGGAACGATTGTTCCAACCTTTTGGTAAGCTATCTGATAGTTAAATCATATGTGTGTCTTTGTTTTTCCTTCAATTTAGACAAAGCAGACATAGGATTTAATTGTCAGTTAATTTACCAAGAAGTTGGAACAATCGGCCCTAAGACGTCCGCCGTACCGATCACATCGTTGTGACGCGCGACTTCGCATCACTGGCGCGTTCACATTCATGCACTTTTAGCACTTTCGGCGCGCTAATGAACTTTTGGTGTACGTGATTGACAGCGCGCGCGTCTGCGATCTTTTCATGCCGAGCAACTGCTATGGACACAAAGCTCCGTACTCCAAACGTCTTTCGCTTGTGTCCTGTGAGTCTCCTGCGGAAATAAGTATTAGAGTGCCGAAAACAACGACGTGCGGTCGTCAGGACATGTCGTAAGTACATTATTACGGAGTAATCTCCTCCCTTCTCGACACATACAGTTTCACACATTTATGAAGTGACCCGAATTCAGGGCTGGGAAATCTGGTTTCACCTTAGTAATAACGCTATCGGAAAATTGACATTACTTTCATCAGTCGATGAGTTCGAACATCCCTCTTGTTTAGTCAATCATCGGTAGGCGCGACAAAATAATTGTGCCGCGAATCCGCAAAAAAATTCAATATGTGTGTACGCGCGCGCGTGAAAGAGAGAAACAACATTGGTTGCATTTAGCAGAGGAAGCTGCTTTGCAACTGTTGTAAAATTCGTAAATCTGATTGGTGAATCTTGATCTTGGCTGAATTCAAGACTACATATCACTTTGGTTATTGGCGAATTTTACAAGGCAAAGCAGCTTCCTCTGCTGAACGCGGCCATTTTCCAACGTAGACACGTGATGCTGCACAAAAAATTTTTTGTTGCAGCTCCAAGAAATGGAGATAATAATGAGCAAACCCGCAGTTTCGCGATTAAAGTGCTGATTGAATTGTTTTGCATTCTACGAGTGATATATTCTTGGGGGTAAGAGAGAGAGAGAGAGAGAGAGAGAAAGAGAGAAAGAGAGAGAGAGATTAAGAAAATGCCAGTTTTGGTTGTGTTTCGAAATCTCGCGGGGTTAGAAACAGCCACCACCCTGTCGTTTACATTTCCAAAATAGGACGTGCCGGTTCTTTCGGCGTCGAGGCGATTTTTAACCCGCGCAACGTGCCCGCGGGATCTCAGCTTCGTCGTAATGGCGCGCACGGTCAGTTGATTGTCATATTTTATAAACAACGTCGCCGCCGCACAACGGGAATCCTTGTCGGCACGTTTGCCGACTATTTAACGGCGGCCTTGGACTCGGCGACGCAACGGGACCTCCTTCCGCCCTCTCCCTCCGCATTTTTCACGTCGCCGACGTGACCTAGAAAAATAATAGGAAGGGAGCGCGCAAATAAACGGCACGAGAGAGCATATTTTTCATCGTGCTCGATTACCGCGTATCCGACATTAATTGAACTTAATTCATCTGTCGACACACGGCATTGAAATTCTAACGTTCAAGCTCACTCGGGGTCTCCTTCGCGTCCTAGAAGGACGAGGAATCGAGTCGAACGCTCGTCGTGAACTCTCGCCGTAGCATTGCGCTTAATCCTTATAAATCTTGCCGCAATACTTAATCTCCTCTCTTGTTATAAGTACCCTGGTACAAGTGTGTGCAGTTTGCGTAGAGCATTCTGCCCAGTTATTACAGTGCATTTTTATTACTTGTAAAAATGTTGCGTACACTAAGAGAAAAGATATTGCTGATTTAACAATAATGATTAGTTGATGTAGGACAAAAAATGACTCCGTAGTGGTAACAAAAAAGAAATATTCGTTATTTTCAGTATGAAAAATTGAAAATATGATGAGGAAAAATGTGATTTGTATTTTAGACAATGTATTGTTAAAATGACAAATGATGAAAAATAATTGCAACGATAATTGTTCAATCTATTTCCCTAACCGATTGTCAAATAGTATATGACTTGTGTTTTGATAACCGAGGGATTTTTCTCACAATCAGTGTAGGAGCTGAACAAAAATTTTATAGAATTTTATTTAGTAGTTGAAACGGTTTATTGTACAATATGTGAACTAATTTTTCCTACGATATAGTATCGGTAAAATTAATTTAATTTTATAATGTGCACGTATATTATGATGTCTATTCTCAATAAATTTTAAATACATCTATTTATATTGTCAAAAAAGAACTGAAAATTATGCGAACAATGAGTGAATGTATAGAAAATTACAGAACAAACAAAAAGAAAATTGAAAGAAATAAGGTATTTTACAATATTAAGTGACAAGAAATGATAACCAAGGTTAAAAATAAAAATAAGCTAAAAGTTATATGCTAATAATACAGAATTTCATTGCGAGATAAAAACACATCAAACTATTTTAATAATAATGATATAAATTGAAAATTGTCATAATAATTTAGACTCGAAACTTGATAAAATAGTACATTTACACAAATGGATGAAAAAATATGTCATTTGATGATTGAAAAATGACAATTAACATTTTATAATTTTTACTATTATTATAATTATTGCTTGGCAGAAATCGATCACAATCCATTCATAAGAAGTGCTCAGTCATTAAAAAGCGAGAAACATGAAAATATATATTACGCATTAAAAATTTCCTGCATTATAACTTCCATTAACTTTAAAATTTTTCGATTAAAATAATGCATACACTGCAAAAACTGATGTGTTAAATTTAACACATTTCATACGTCCCAAATTATCCACTCTCATTTATGTGTAAATTTAACACAACAGTTTTTACAGTGTAGAAAATGAAATACTACTAAACCTGCTCGTTTTATGAGCAAGACTTGATTATCAAGGAGATGCTGGAATCGATAGCAAACTCCAAAAATGTCGACAACGTGGAGATAATCGTCACTAATACAATCACGCTATTTCTTTCGTATTTTTTGTATATATAGATCTTACGTAAACGTGGGTTGTTTTATTTTACCATATATAGAGAAACTTAATAAATCTAACGTATATATAACATAATATACGTATAACATAATAAACTTAACTTAATACGTATATATAACATAATAAACTTAACTTAATAAATTTAACGTGCGTATATATAATACTTTCTACAAGCTTTTCCTTTATTTTATAAAAGCACACAAAAAAGATAACACGATCGTGTTAGTAATGATTGTTTCAATGTTATCAATATTCTTCGAGTTCGTCACTCACTTTGGCATCCTTTTAATCAATTGAATAATTTTTTGTTGTTCATTTTCTGTTCTGTTTTTGTTCAGTAAATGGCTTCAAATTCTGCGTATCTTTCGAGAGCAGGAGAAGTGTTACATCTCGATTGGGATCCCAAGTAGTTTCACTGTTTCATAGTTATCGGACGAAAGTTAACATAACCGTGAAGTAACTGCGTCAAATTTCTGCCAGAGTAACACAAATCAAAGTAGTTTCTCGTCACGTACGGATGAGAAGTATAGAAACTGCAACTCGCAAATTGAAAAATATTCGCCGTTTTACGACTCGATGGGATATGAAGTTACTTGAATTACTTAAAATTCCCTCTCGCCGATGTCAATTTAGTTAATAAATGTCACTCGCGTGTTTAATCGAATGAGTAGGTGAAGCTCGACAAAGCCAGTAGAAAGACTACCAGCACGTTTGGAAAATATTGTGAACTCAGTATCTCGGTGTGCGTTCCAGAAATACCTGCAGCCCCTGAAGAGCCCCGAGAATGCCGGTCTAGTGGATTCCGGAACGGTCGACGAGATATTTTATCAGGTAAGTATCGCATAGACGATGTCCGCGCGCGCTCCGGTCTTGTCTTCTCTTTCGTCGTGAGCCAACGGCGAGCTACAATTATTATAATATTTCCACGTTGCTCTCTCTTTCTCTCTCTCTCTCTCTCTCTCTCGTAAATCCATCCGTCACTACGGCGACGGCTTGTAACTCAACATCCAGAAAATCTTCTGCTTCCTCCTCGCCGCTAGGGATGTGCGATTTATGAAATTGTGTATCACAATGCGATCTTCTTTTAAGAATTATTGCAATGAATGCGATATATCGCATCACGATTGTGTATCGTAAATATGATTTCAAATCGCACGCAATTTTGTGTCGCAAGTTCATTTTTTAATCATAAGGAAACCTGGGACATGATAGAAACCGTAATGTTTAAATAAATGTTAAACGCATTAAAAATCAATAAAGCCACTCTGTCTTCGTATTGCATCAAAATATTTTTTGAAATGATAAGAAAAAACAAGTTATTAATCATTAATTTTCAAACATTTTTAAAGTAAAAACATACAATAAATTAAAACATACAGTATATAAGGATATATTATTCCGTGTTTAATTAATTATAATTATTTAATGTCAACATTTTTCTTATAAGATAATAATATTACTTTCTTTATTATTTCTTTTTACTAAAATATGAATGATAATCTATATTAAGTGTAGAAATTTTCGGTAATTTTCTGAAATATATAAAAAAAAATATATATATATAAATCAAATATAAAAAGAAATTGTGCAACTTAACATATTTTAAAGCTATTATACTAACATAATTCCATTATACCTCTAAATGTATAAATTTGAATTAGATAGTATAAAATGTCATAGACTCGCGCGACAATCATTTTAAAAACGTTTGAAAATTAATGATTCGGAAATAAATAAGTTTTTGTAAAGTATCTTCCGTTTTGCACAGATATTTAATCAAAATGAGGAGTAATTTTAAATCGCGAGCGCGATTTTTCTATAAAAGTCCAATTACGATGCCCAATTACGAAGTCAGATGCGATGTCCCATTACGATTCAAGAAGAGAAAATCGTAGTGCTTGCGATATATCGCAAAATCGCACATTTCTACTCGCTACTGACGGAGATTATATTTCAAATGGCACACCGAGTTGTGTATGTATGTGTGTGCACGTAAGACGAGGAAAGAGCAAGCTTCATGACGATCTCCCAGAGATTAAGATCGAGATAAAGAGATGGTGGGCCGCGAAATCGATCCACGTGGATCGTGATGGTTATCTGACGTAGTTGTTGACGTACCTCGCTCCGCGCGAGGGTGGGAAAATGCTCCGCTAAAATCCCTTCAGACGCGGTCAGGTGCAGCAATTAACTAACAAGTCGTTGACGAGTTGTTAATTAGTTGTTGCCAGAACTGCGTCAGATAGCAGCGACTGGTCCTTTGACGGTGGTTCGACGTCGAGCGACGTTTAACCGACATTCCGTTGCCGTCGAGTATCAATCCCGGTTCAGGCAGATTTGCGCGCTATTATTTGATCGTATCAAGAGAAGAACTACGGGATTATTAACGAAATTACAACATCTCGCGATGGTAACGCGCGGGTACGCTTATGCATCGCGCCGGGGATCTCACCTTTGCCATTCATCTCACGATGATGTAACGTTCGCGATATAATGTTTACGTCGCTCCGCTTTTCATTATCTCCCTGGTGTTCTTTTTTCTTTTTTTAGAATGTGCACCGTGAACGCGTCACGACTAATAATAATAAACTCATGAAAGTTAATCTGCGTGGAGCTCTACACGTGTTAAGCTTGTTATGTTCGTAACGGCCCGAGAGTGGGATTTCGATTACTTTCGACCTCAATATCACTATTTAATATTTACTTTGATACTCTAAAGCCTGTATCGATGTAGTCGAATCTCTTGATACTATTTAACTTGCACTGAGAGAAAAAATATTTTAGAAATAAAGAATATTCATTCGGCACTAATAACATATTTACTTATACTGACATAAAATGTTTTTTAAATAAGAAAATGTATGCTTTTTTAAAATCTTTTCATAAAAGCAACTGTTTATTCTATTTAAATAAAAGAATTTAGGTTCAAGTAAATATGTCACTAGTAGAAAACAAGAACATTTATGTTTTGAAAATATCTTTATTTTTTACTCGTAAATCTTGAAATGAGATTACATAGCTTTAAACGAAGATAAGTTACTTGCATCAGTACACAACAAAAAAAACATATTCTTATAAAACAAAACTAATTTTTACGGATGGGAAGCACAAAATATTAAACTAAGAATATGATATTTTTAAATATCGGAATGTGTTCAAAAGAAGATATTATTATCTCGTCAAAATTATTCTTCTTATGAGACTATTATAATATTCAAATAAAATTATTTTGTTGGGATTCACGACTTTAATATTTGAATATTCTTCTAACGAAATACATATCGTTGCGAATGAAACAATGATTGTAAATTTGAGCATATTAGTTCTAGATGAATAGACAATTCTTTTTTCTGTGCAGTCATCGTATAAATATTTGTTTTATTCTTTAGATATTTTACCTTTCAGTGCAGATGTGTTAGAAAGTTCAGGTCGAATGTAGGGCTGAAAGTTCGGCTCGTCTCCCAGCGAATCGCGTGTATTCGTCGTCATTTCTCCGGCATGATATTTCGCGGGCACGCGGTATCACTCGATCGCCGACGATCGATCAGAGATAAAGTTGCCGAAGGGAGTGCTCACGCATTTTAGATCCCTGCGATTCTCAGCCACCACGAGGTATTCTTGGAGGAGCTGCGTAGGCGACTCGACACCTGGGAACTCAGGCAGACGATCGGCGACGTCTTCCTCGACGTGGTAAGTTTACATTGTTACTAGGTGCGCAAATATCCCTCCCCCCATCTGCCCCTCCAGCCGCCCCGGTCGGACACGCGATAAATTATTCGCTCAACAGTATCTGTCTGTCCGCGCGCCGTTAAGATCCCCAGACGCCAACAGGACCGGCCGACAGACCCCGTAACGTTAATTCGCGCCGCGTTATTTTCCGTTCGGAAGGTAATCCGCATTAATAAATCGACCGTCGTCGCGACCACATACCACCGCCACCGCCACCAACGCCACCCGTCGTCGCCGCCGCCGCCGCCTCCTTGCATAAGCGCGGAATATTTTTAGCCCTTGAAACATATTTATTTGCGCGCCATATTTTTTTCCTTCGTACATGTCATGTGTATTATCTAACGTATAAATCCGCGGCCTTAATTTCGCGACGCGGTATTTCAGGATTTCCTCTTAAAAGCGAAGCGCAACGGTGAACAGATGACACGCTGGTACGACTTTAGAATCGCAGACAGAATCAACCCCGACTCGCTGGAATTCGACGCAATATATTAGCGATCGAATAAATTTTTGCGGCGTCGAGTTTGCATAGTCCCTCGAGTTTATCTTTTTCTTTTTCTGTTCTCCTGTTTCTTTTGCGTCTAATGGATTTTCACCACTCGCGTATCTCGCATATTCCTAACATGTTGTCTTTGAAAGAGACTCGAGCTGTTGATATTTTTATTAGTATTTTTCAAGTAAATTTTTGACAGGGTTATAACGTACATTGGAAGCTGCAAAGTTTATTTAATGGTTTACCCTGACACAGGAATAAAAAGTAGATAAAATTTGGGGGGTTGTAAAAAAGTTATAAATTAATAGCAGTGGAAACTTTTTGTTATACATATATGTCTATCAAATTTAATATTTTGGTATAAAAAGTTACTGGTATTAGGCTGTTATCTAATTAAAATCTATCTAATTAAATCTATCTATAAAATCTATATCTAATTAAAATTAGATTGCCATTATTTCAGTTCTATTCTGCAAAATAATTATAAATATTTATGCTTCAATGGTGATCATCCTTGTTTCAACAGGCGTGATCTGAAATTAGTATTAATACATTTTTTATTCATTAAGGTTATAATTTTCGGCTTGAATTTTGAGAAAATGGTATTTTGCAAAACAGAAGTTATAAAAAATCAAATTAAATTTGTTTACTGAAAAATTCGAGCTTTTAAAAGAAATAAGGAATGCACATGATTATGCATGTCGGGTCTTCTTAAAGGGTTAAACCCATAGACTAATCTTTCAGAATATACAGATGTTAGAAAGCTCAAGTCGAAAGTGGAGCTAGAATTTCAGATAAGGACTGACTTATTAAGAACTGATTAAGTAATGACTTAGTCCTCTGGAGTAATGTGCTCGTTTGGAAAGCAGCGTACATTTTTATCGACATATACACGCACACAAACACAAAGAATCCGCGCTGCTTTTCAGTTCACGAAACCAGTGGTGCTGGAGACGTACACCCTATTCCTGGACAATTGGAAGTCGGCGAGGAAGGCGATAAAAACAACATGCCAGGCGAAGCCCGCCTTTGCACGATTTCTCGAGGTAGGCTATTACGTTGTGTCTTCGCTGTGAACTCTCATTTTTACTCTTTCTCATATACACACTCTCTCTCTCTCCTCCTCCCCCCTCTCTCTCTCTCTCTCTCTGTTTCTTTCTCTTTGCAACAAGAGAATGTGAAAGAGAGAAAGTTATTATTAAATACGAAACTTTTTCATTCCACGTCGCTTCTGAGAGCATCGCTGTCAAACCTGACCTTTCGCAATTTTATCGATATAATTAACTCGTTACTTGATTGCCGGCGTCGTAGTCGCCACTTGGACTCCCTTGAGATCCGGCGCATCTTCCACATGCTCGGCACGATCTGCGCACTTTGGAATGCAATGTATAAACCACTTTAAACGCGCCAAAGTGCACTAAACGTATTGTCCCTGTACATTATCGCTGAACTAATAACGCCTTAGACTAGGCACAGCTTTGCTCGATTAACTCTTCTTAGAGAGACTCAACGTAATATCTTAACAATACTTATGTTACACACGTTTCTCCAGAGATCCATGTGATACACGATTGCGAAAAATATTCTTATGTCGAGTCGCGTTAATAACGTTAAATTAATAGATAATATATCTAATTAATAGATAGTAATAGATTATATATATGTATATATTCTTGTATATCTATTAATCAGATCTATTAATTGGATAATACATAATTAGACAATAGCTATAATTAGATAATGTATCATTAGGTAATTAATAGATAATAATAGATATATATTCTGGTAGAATTCATTTCTCAAAACAATTGCAGACCAGTCATTTGTAGTCACGATTGCAAAATATTCCGATATAATAGTAATGATAATAATATATGATGGATATGGTACGATTATTATTGCTTGGAAACCTGAGTTACATAACTCAGCTTAACGAGGGCGAATTATAAAAATGCCGATGGGGTGAATCACGGCTGCTGTTGTCGCGTTTAGACGATGGAGCGCGAACATAAGGGCAAGCTGGGGCTGGACCAGTTGCTGATCAAGCCTGTACAGAAGATCCCGCGGTACGAGCTGCTGATCCAGAGGCTGCTGAAGCACACTGACTCGACGCACCCCGATTACGAGCTGCTGCAGGCCGCGCAGAAAGAGGTGCACGAGTTGGTCGTGAAGATTAACTGTACGGAAAGGGAATCACTCGAGTGGGAACAGCAGCAGACCACGTTGAGGGAGGTCCAGGCCCTCGTCGAAGGTCTCGCCGGCATCGTAACGAACGACAGGTAATGACAGCTGTCGCGTATCGAGCCAAGGGGTTTGGTGCGATGTTTGAGTCGAATTTCACCTTATTCAATGAAGAATTACTTATCGACCAAGTGACTGCTGTCCTGGTCTATGGTCCTTTGTCTTTTGGCATCATTTATATATTCTGTCGTGCAAGGAGAAAATGTAGTAGTAATGTTGTAGTAAAATTCGCGTTAGAAAATATTCCTTTTTACACAAGCCCAATAAACACCAACTAACAGTAACATCAATGTTATATCTTTCCATTCAATAATATAACGCACGTGTTATATTGCATTTACATTGTTGAGTGGAAAATCATAACACTGATAGTTGGTGTTTATCGGGATGTCTTTTGTAAAGCTGAGCTATTGAAATTAGTTTATTCTGATCATGTTATATAAATTATTATAGAAGTAGTAAATATATTTGATGAGAGAAATTCACCAAATATAAAATATAAAAAACATCCAAATAATTTCAATAATTTCATAGTAGAATTAAACGTGCATACGTAATATTTTTAAGCAAACAGATAATAATTTAGATAAAATAGTTTTAAATAATTAAATAATAATTTATTTAATTATTACTATTATATTTCATTATTACTATAACTTATCTTAATTTGTTTAAATTTGTTTTAATTTATTTTAAATGTAATCTTAATTGTTAAATCGAACCGAATTGTTTGATTGACTCCATAATTTTTAATTCAACAATTGTATGGATATTGCGACCATTCAATTTACGAATATGAAAGAACACACGGCGCATCAAAATCGATCCGCTTTTACTTTCGTCGAATCACTCGACGCGGAAGAAATCGCGCATATAATTGCGATTAAAAACTGAACATCTAGCATTTGTCACCGGCCAAGCCACGACGCGAATAATAGAGGCGTGATCGTTGTTAAATTTGCGCAGCCTGCGACGAACTGATACATCACGCCGGGAGGAATCGATAAGCCCGCGCAAGAATATCTCATGCACTGCCATTGACGACAGGTGAATCGATGTTTCCGACAGAACAACCCGACTGTAGTCGATCCGGCTTTGTTTTCCTCAACATCAGCTGGCACTGAATTTACGATCGATACACCGGCTGCGATTTACGATCATTTTTCAGCTTAATATCCTCGCGTCAATGATATCCGCGCCGGCCACGAATTTATGATCAATGCGCACATGGCGATTTATCGCGCGACGGGAAAACACTCTCGATCGTTTCTCATTTTGGCGTGCGCGCCGACGGAAAATGTAGAAATTCCATTTCGACGAAGTGCAGAGAAACGAACAAGTGGACGCTTCTCACGTAACTGATGGGTTTTACTTTACAGAATTAAAGTCCTACTCGCGCAATCCACATTCTTCATGTGTCTAGATACTTAAGTATAGGAAAAAACGAGGCAAGACATGTTATACTTTTCAGAATTTCGAGGTTGCAATTTTTCAGACAATTAATTATTGTGGTTGACTGTATAGACATGACAGAGACAACCTTTTTCTGTCTTTTTATAACAACAATAATCTTGTAAACCGTATATTTTATTTTGTCTAATAATCCAAATATGGACATGTTGCAATGTGGCTATTTTACCTTGCCTCAAGCGTTGACTAAGAAACTAGTATAAGAAGACCATATATAAAATGTGTATAACCTTGACAAATATTTTATCGTTCAGACATGATAATTATTCTAATCAACAAATATTTTTCCAACGATCTTGATCCTAATATATGTTATGAAAAGTATCTATGTTGTAAAAGGGACAATTTTGTGATTTTGTTTCCGCTGTTCCTTTCATTATAAACACATAAACAAATCAAATAGCCAATATAATCTTCGAGATAACTAGACCTAATCTCTCCTAAATATCAATATTTCACGTTTGAGCATACGATAAAATATTAAAACTAAAAAGCTGATTTTCACACACGGTAATATTTCTTGTAGTATCATCGAAATTTCCAAAAATTGAATCTAACGAGCTTTCAGCGCGTCGTTATTTTTTCACGTCAGTTTCTTCGTTCGTGTCAATCTTTAGAGACACAAATGATTGTGGAAATGCACACTGTCTTGCGCCGCGTGCGATTTTCCAATAAATTCCGACATCGCAGAGTGTGACAGGAACGTCGTCCCACTTCACGCGCCTTTCAATCTGTGCCAATCGCGGCGTACGCGTTACATCGTTTTTCCGCCAGACTTATTTAGCCGTCGGAATCGGGGTATCGATTACCGATAATGATGCGTGCTGTAGTGGAAACTGGCCGCGACACACGACAAAAAGATCCATCGAATTGTGTGACACGTCCGCTTTTTCTCCCGCTTTCAGAGCTTTCGTCCGACACGATCTGGTCACCATAGCGTCGAATCAGGGCACACGGAAGGAACGGGCTTTATTTCTGTTTTCCGATCTCCTCGTCATCACCAGCATCAAGCGCAGGAGCGGCACGATAAGAAAACCGTCAACGTGAGTGCCTCACCGGAACATCACGTGTGGAAATTCAAGCGTACTCTGGCGCTGAAAAACGTAGAAAATTGCAAATTCTGTTTTATACGCGACGACACGTGCCTCCTCTGATTTATGTCTTTAAATTTCATTTAGCGTGTCTCGCTTAAACATTTTATCGGAAGAATTTACTATTTGAAAAATTAAAACGATCTTAGTATAATTTTAATAAAGGGATACTTATATTCTTTTACTATAACATTATGATATTGACTTTGTTGTATAATATTATTCTATTGTAATACTTTTTACTGTAATACTAATTATAGTAAAAGAATATTTATTATATTTATTCTTATAGTATAATTCGTATATATTTTACTATTATATTTTCCCATGGTTAGGTAATGACAAGTTAATCAATTAAATATTAAGTTAAAGGATTTAAAATTCAATAAGTTTCAACTTAACTCAGTTATTTTAAGATGCATTTACTTCATCTTGTTATCTTCTTTTAGATAAGTTAAAATAATTTGTCAAAATATTAAAATTATTGCGAGCTGCTTTTACAATGTAGAATGAAAAAATTAAAAATAATTGCTACGAAATCTTTTCTATCTCTGAACACTAGTATTCTTTTCTTGTATAGAATTCTGAACATGAAAAAGTTGATATTTTCTAATAAAAAACTACGTTTTCATTATTCCTCGTAAATTTGATCTATGATTGAAAAATTAATTGTACAAAAGACATATTGTTTAACACAATTAACCAGCTTTAATAAATTAATTCGCTATCAACTTAACTTTCAATTAAATCAGTTGCCGTTTATGTAATTTTTAATTTAACTAAGTTAATTTTACAAGCCACATTAGCTTTAAGGTTAATTTAATAGAAAAAAATATTAACGCATCCAATCCTATATTTTACTACGTATGCAGGAGCGCGTGTCCAAACAGCCTAGTCGGCTTGCTCGAAGCGAACAAGTACAAAATGCTGATGCGGATCCCACTGGACGATCTCGAAGTGATGAAAGGTATTGTAATCGAGGCGTCGATTTCACGAATGCACTTGTATTACTTTTCCAATCGAGCTTGTCAGACTACTACGGTTGTCGTTTTCAGCCAAAGATGAGAATTTAAGGCGAATGGCGCGCGAAGTGGACCACCTACGAGAAGACTGCATGACGTTGACTAATCTTCAGGAAATCACCGCGACCTTGCACGGTCCGAAGCAGCAACTGGAAGAACTTATCAAGGACATGCTGGGTCAAGCCCAGCGGCAATTGGCGGAGAGGAATGCGGCGGATTCGCAATTGGCTTGCCTGGAACTCACGCTCAATACTCAGTGAGTGAATTCTCCCTTCTTCCGGAAATTAAATTAGACTAGTGAAAATAGAACAACTTAAGATCGCAGTTTCGACAATATATTGTTGCGATAATCAGCATTAACTGAATCTTATTCGCCACATTCCCCGGGACGAGACGTGATCGAAAAATTTCGCAATAACGTGAAGCGGATTCTCTTTACAGAACGAATCCGTATCTTTTTTATCCGAAATAATGATACACGTGAAAGAAATCGAAAAAGTTCATGGTGACTTTGGAAAAATTTTGTTCCACAAAGTTCCTACAAAGTTACGGTGTAAAAAAGAACCCCGAGCTTTCTTAATCGACTTTAAAAAAGGAGGAGATTCTTAGTTTGCTTTCTGTGTGTTTGTTTATTTGTATATTCTCATAACCTTTAGACCTTTAGAGATATTGAGATGAAATTTTTTTGTAACTTGTTCATAGTAATTGGGCAACTCCACTACTTTCTTGGAAATCCGAAAATATTTAGAAATACAAGACGAAACTTTTATTCTCAACTAGCTTAAAAGAAACTTTTTTAGCCGAATTTTAACGAACTTTTAGTCAATAATTAAAATAAAAAATAAAAAATAAATCGTCTTTAGAATCTTTAAGAAATCTTAAATAAAATACATAATTTTCCTATCCCAATAAACAAATAATATTTAAAAATCATTTAAAAAACATTTGAAAAAACATTTTTAAAAATAATGGAATAAGTTCTCTTTTTTTAATTAAAAAACGTTTGGAAAAATGTCTTATTTTTTTAATATTTAATAAATTTATTTATTTTAACATTTAGAAAATATTTTTTAAATGTTACATGTTAACATTTAGAAAAACATTTTTTAAACGTTAAAATAAACGTTTATTAACTATTAAAAAACAAAATATTTTTTCAAGCGTTAAAAAACGTTTTTAGTGAAAAAAGAGAATTTATCCCATTATTTTTAAAAATGCTTTTAAAAATGTTTTTTAAAATATTGTTTGCTCATGTTGTTTGAGATATGTACTTACAATCCTATCCTGATATTTTAACGATATTAAAAGTCGGCGCGAAAAAATAAATTAGTGAGATAAGTAACTATATAACTGTAAGGAGAGATAAATTTAAAAAAAGTATGCTTAATGACTTAATGAGGTTTTTGCACCAACTTCTAATATCGTTAGAATATCAGAATAAGATCGTGGATACATAGAAATATTGATCCAAAATTATTTCATACATTTTAGGGCTTTTGAGGATTTTGAGAGAAGTTTTTATTCATATTTTTATGAAAATAAATGAATGCTGTCGGTAGTAAAGAAAAGAATAATTAAAAGATAATGACAGGAATTTCAAAATTTGTATATATGTGCTTTAAGTATTCAAGATAATGTATACGAAGTTTTATTGTGATTGAAAAAACATAAAAGTCAGAAATAATATAAAATAAAATAATTAAGCTAAAAAAAGGTGATGTTATAAAGCAATTTCAATTACTTTTTGCATGAATTACACGGGTAATACATCTTTCAGATTTTATTTTAGAATGTGATTTATTATCTTTTTTAATTTTTTTTTTGCAATATTATATCATAAAAAGAAATCCCCCAATATTTCGCCAAGAAATATTGTTCTCAATCACGTTTCCGGTACACGTGCCCGTTTGTAGATCCATAGATCGATTGCGGTCGCAACGTGACTCATGTTGTCGCGCGTACCTTGTTTACAGAGCCGGGATTGAGAATATATCCGTCATGTTCACGAAGCCTGACAAGCGTGCGAGTTGGGAGGAGAGCTTTAACGAAGCCAAACAGAAACTCGGTGAGTAACATTACCCTCCCGATAGGTATTTTGAATGTTCCGCATTCCAAAAGAAACATTCTAAAGAGGAAGAGATATTCGTTTTGTTGGAAGATTCTTAATAAATACGTAGAAATAACATTCTCTTTGTTGCAATGTAGAGTCGGAAAATGTAGGATATTATGCGGATAAACGAACGATTCAATTAACCGCGATTACTTCCCTTCAACTTTTGTATCTATGAAGTGAGAAGCTGCGAGAGCGGACGAAAGCTGTACACTGTGAGATAAAATTACGCCGCGTAAAATGAACACGACGTCATCGTGTGATAAAATTTCGATTTCGCGAACGCGCTCACTTTGCATACGCATCGGCGCATAAACTCGGAGTGGCTCTTCGCAATTCCGTCTATGATTAAATTGTTTTTGCGCAAGACGCGCTCACGCAGTTTTTAATTTTCGGATGTTACACGCACACATTTCGGCTTCGTTTTCAGTACTAATAACTTTCTTATTTAGGAGGTTGCCAAAATAAATGACAAACTTCAAAAGTATTGATAACGTCACTAATACGATCGCGCTATCCCCTTTTCATATTTCTTGTACATACATTGAAAGAAAACATTCTGAAAAATAAGAAACATTTATTTGTGGTGGATACCAATGATATATTTACTCTTGTACTAATATATATATATTAAAATTTAAAAAAGTATGCTTAGTGACTCAATGAAGTTTTCATTTATGAATTTTGATATAATACATATATCAAAATTTTTTTATAATATATATATATTATAAAAAAATTTTTTAAGAAAGATTTCTCTCAAATTAAAGAAAAAATACTTTTTCCTAAAACTATTGCGTGAGAGCAACTATTTATTATATCAGGCAAATATATACGCTATAATTGATAATTCGAGAAGCCAACCTTGAAATATTTTTGTCGTTTTTGTCACATATCGAATAATGCTTTAATTTCTGCATGTACTTCTATTGTGTAAAATTTATGTCCTAAAAAGAGCATTTCTCGATTTTGTGTACCCACTACTCCTCTCAAGATAAATATTTAAAAAAAGCTCATGAGCCTCGGTCTCTTCTATGATATCCCCTTGATAACAAATCGAGTTCCTCTAGTCAGAGAATATTTCGAATACCTTCCCTTATTTCGCGTGCAGCGCTGTCGGCAGACCGACGACCGTGTCCTGAATTCGTGGGGCCGTTGCCGATCAGGAAGACACGAGCGGGTCTTCAGTTCACCTGCGCGGCCCCGACATTGGCGTACGGACAAGGCTCGAGGGACGTTTGGGTGTGCAACAGTGACGGTTACGTCGGTCAGGTGTGCGTGCTGAGTCTAAGCCCGGAACCGCCGCAAGTCACGTCATGTAACGGAGTCTGCAACGCCAGGATACTCTGCGTCGCTGGGATACCTGCTTGCACGTCTGGGTACGTTGACGAAAGTGGAGTGGACAGCAATCGTGGAAAACCTCGGAATTCGCGATCACGATGCGAAGAACGAGATCAAACGGTTTAATTAGGATAAAGGAGATTACAATTGCGCGAAGATGAACGTTGTGTGTTTTCAGTTCGAACTCGTGCACGACGAACAACAGTCCTTTTATTAACAGCAAGAGCGGCATTAGTATATCGGTGCAAGACGTGGATGCCAGCGGCGGTAACATACAATTAGACAGGTAATAATTCTCCCCCGCGGCGACACACATCCAATGAAATCCGCGATTTGGCAACGATAAGCGGATTACAGTTGGTTATAGCGCATTGATAATGATGAATTAACAATGGCCAGAGTGAACACGGACTCTTCACTTATCGAACCGAGAATCCGAAGCAACCAAAGCGTAAAATCAGCGCAAAAAATCTATATAGCATTTGAATTTAATTTGATATTTATTAGGATGCATTTCTATACTGAGAAAATCAACGATCACGATGATTACTTGATTGTAAATTTAATTTGATATTTTAGAATCAATCTTGAAATTAAAAAAATCCACATTCATTAATCGTTAGCTTAAGCGTATTAGAAATATTGATATAAACAATGATAAGAAAAAATTTGGAAATAGAAGAAATAGATTATTGTTTATAAACAATTCATTTGCTTGTAAATATACATTCCACTTTTAAATTATTATAAAAAATTGTCAAAGAAAAAAGCTTAAAATGAAATTCATGTATTGAGGCATTTTAAAATTTAAGAATTTGCAAAAATTCAGCATCTTGTCGTTTTAAATATTTATGTATCGCAATGACGGACTAGCTTCTTTCAAATTTTAAGTACAATGATAAATAAAAATTTGTAAATAAAGAAAGAAAATATTATTATTTACAAATGTCCCGTTTGCTTATAAAGTATTGGCACATCCCAAAATTTAATGAGAGAATAGAAACTTATTGTTTAAAAATATTCCATTTACTTATAAATATACATTTACAAGTAAATGGAATATTTTTAAACAATAAGTTTCTATTCTCTTATTAAATTTTGGGATGAGCCAATAAACGAGTTTTATTTCATGTCTTTTTCTTCGACAATTACGATAATTCAAATGTGAAATGTATATTTATCGAATGTGAAATATATATTTCACATTTGAATCATTGTTAAAGAAAAAAACTGAAAATACAACTCATTTATTGAGACATTCTAAAATTTAAAAATTTCCCAAAATTTAGCATTTTGTCGTTCCATATATTTATGTATTTCTCAGTGGGATATTCTCTAAAACTTCAAACACTCTATAATATCTTTTTTAATAAGAAATTACGGTTACTGTTTGGAATGTTTTTGAAACGTACTTTTTATCTCGTGCTTACTTTTCGGCTCGCGCGCTTTGCAGTAGCTCGAGCTCCGACGAGTCGGACTCGGACGACATTCCATGCGCGGACACAGGCAGTGTGACACTAAGCGGCGATGTATCGAGCATCGATAATACCGCGACGGAGGAGGACATCAACCAGCCCACTATGTGGTTGGGAACCGAGGACGGCTGCATCCACGTGTACAACTGCAACGACAATATCCGGATCAAAAAGAACAAAGTGAAGATTCAACACGGCAGCAGCGTGCACTGCGTCATGTGAGCCGCCGGTTTATTATGCTACTACAGGAATTCGTTATATAGCTTACGACGTCGTAATATTGATCTGTGCTTTCAGATACCTAGACAACAAAGTGTTCGTCTCTCTCGCCAACGGAGACATCACGGTTTACGCACGGGACCACAGTAAGTTGCGACATTTAATCGCATGCCTCTCAACATAATGTATTATTAGTTTTGTATTCACGTATTACGTCAGTCCAAAAGTTTGGTTTCATTTTCAATGATATTCTTTGAAAGCCATCTCTTGTGATAGAAACATAAGAATACTGTTAACGAGTACATAAGAATATCATTAACATAAAAACATTGTTAACGAATACATAAGAATATTGCTAACGAATATTGTTTTAAGCGTTAACAAAAAATCACAAACAACGACTTGACTTATTTAGAAAACTCGATAAGAATTTATAGAAATATATAGAAAATTTATAGAAATGTATACAAATTTCATTGAAATTTCATTGAAAGATAACAGCACAAAGATAGCACAATTTCAATTTCATTGAAATTTAATTGAAAGATAGCACAGAGAATTAAAAAAGAACTCAGTCATCAATTCCGAGTTTATTTTTAGATGCAAAAAAATTCTTTTCACTGAACTGAGCTCTGAAGAATTCAGTTGAATTTGCATCTGAAAATAAACTTTACTTTACTTTACTTTAATAAACCAACTAGAATTGGTGAAACTGAATTTTTTTTAATTCTTTTTGAATTTTCTGTGCTATCTGGGATATTATATGGCCTTACCTGAACATATCATTTCCACCGTAAATTTCAATTTCTCATGTTTTAGTTTATATAAAAAGTTTATCAATCTTTTTCACTTTATATCACGTAACTTTCAACGATTAAAGATTGTACTAAACGATTAAATAAATATTTACCTGAGTACATACCTTTTTATCATTTTTTACGAAAAACACGATTCAGTTACATGAGTTTTTCTTGTCTAATTCTATTAAATCTTTTCAAGCAGAATGCTTGACGAATAATTTATTTCCATAGAATGCAGTAAACATTTGTACGCTTAAGAGAACATTAAGGGAACCGAACTTTTGAATCGTCCCAGAAATATCGATTGAATTTTTATTTCGCAATTATATATTGAATTCCTGTTCTACTTTTTCCCTTGCGCTTTAGCCGGTGGATGGAACACTCCGGATCCAACGACGGTGTCCGTCGGGACGGTGGCGTCGCCGGTGACCAAAATGCTGTCCGTCTCCGGGAAACTTTGGTGCGGCTGCCACAACAGCGTGAAGGTCTTGAACACTCACACCTTGGACATCGAGCACACGTTCACTGTGAGCGACACGAGTCGCGCCGTTTCCTGCATGGTGAACTCCGGGAGCTTGGGTGTCTGGATCTCTTTGCACAATAGCGCGGTACTGAGGCTCTTTCATTCCGGTAGTTACGAGTGTCTGACGGATATCAACATTGCGCCAGCTGTCACCAAGATGCTTGCCAGTAAGTCTCAAATCTCGAGCAGCTAAAGCATTTTCAGGAATTATCGTCCCATGTATAAACATCGTTAATCCTTTTTGTATTAATTTATGTCGCAAATTAATTTTCATCGTTCCTCCCTGATGAAGCGAACTGAAATGTTCGCGAAACGTCGGAATTCACAAAGAAGAATTCACGCGACTCAAACCCGAAAACCTAATCTAATAATTTTCATTAGTTCAAGCTGGATTCTCTTGCGGCCTGTAAGGATGAAACGAAAATCGAAATTAACGTTTTAAGAAATAAAATTACAATAGTAACATATGTTGTTATATTTTATAATTGATTTTTCAAAATTAACGTTTTAAGAAATAAAATTACAATAGTAATATATGTTGTCATATTTTATAATTGATTTTTAAAGCTTCTGGATATTCACCGCGGCCATGTTGAATCATGACGTCAGAGGCGAGAAATGATGCACTGAAAGTTTCTGTGTATCATTCTCAAATCAGAAGATATTTAAATGAAAGACTTCGGATCAATTGAGCATACTTATAAAATACTTCGGAAGCTATCTTTCTCTGTTGATAATCAAATAGTCGCAAATTAATTAAATAAAACCATGAGAAAGATAGGTTAAAAAGGAAAGTTGTACGTTAATTTTACGGCTACTTATTGACTATCAAAGAAGGATAATTTTCGAGGAATTTTACAAGTATGTTCAAGCAATCTAAAACATTCCTTTACACAAATATCTTCTTATTCGAATACGGTATGCGAGAATTTTTGATATGTGTTTTCTCGCTTCTATCGCTCATCAATCAAGAATTCCGTGGCGAAGGACCAGCATCCTTAAGTTTTGCAATCGATTACATTATTCTTTTAGAATTTTTATAAATATAAATCGTTTCTAATCTGAAATTTCAAACATGTCAAACTCTACTGCGTCTAGTTCTTATTGATTAATCGATGAACAGTAAGAAGGATCTCGTCGAGGAACAAGTGGCCCGGCACTTATTTTAACGGAAGCGTTAAACTTGTTGCAGGTTGCGATGACATAATTCGGCAGCACAAGGCTGCTTGTCTCAGGGTCACCGCACTGTTGGCTTGCAACGATTTGCTTTGGATCGGAACGAGTGCAGGCGTGCTGCTCACCGTGCCAATTCCCCATATAAAGCCATCCACTCAGAGGATGTCGCAGCCACCGATCGTGACTGGTGCGTATTGACGTCACGTTTCGTCGCATATATCGCCGTTATATTATTGCCCGACGGTATAATTAGAAACTGGCCAACACCCCAAAACGCGCCGCCATTGCTGCTCCACGTGGAAGGATGCAGGAGCGATCGATCAGTGTCGAGTCTTTTCGGCACAGGATGTAACGCCATGACTCGCGCGCGAACTTATTAATCCTCTGCAGTCCTCTTCAGATAGCTTCGTATATGTCTATTATCCGTGGAAAATCAGACCGCAGGGTCACAACTCGCCAGAAATATATATCGTGCCGGAAATATACATAACGTTAAAATATATTTTTGTATTGTAACATTTTTGCGTTTTGTGTTATAACTGTCACGTGAAAAAATACAATTAGCATTACGGAGCTTCCCTCTCTTGGAAAATTGGAAATTATATATATAATTAAACCAAATTTTATAAAAGGCAAAATTAATTAAAATTAAACATTTTTTAAATATATATGGAAAATATGTACTTTTATATAAATAATATATATATATATGAATTTTTATTATTAATAATAAATTATATAAATTATATGAGCAACATATATAAATTTTTATATGTATATAAAAAAATATTTTTACAGCCATCTTCTATAATAGAAGATAGCTGTTTTTTTTATTTTTAGTTGTTTTTTATTTGTTTACTGATGGATTTTTTATTTCTAGATTTTAATTTGCATATGAAAAAATTGGCTTGATTTTTATACAAAAACAAAAATTTTATTTTATCTGCTATGAATTTTAAAATTCTACGGTGTTTTAAAATTTACATAGAAAAAATTTTTGTACAAATATAAGTATGAAAATTTAATAAAATAATTTAATAAATAAATAAATTAATTTATAAATTTATTAATTAATTTATTAATTAATTTATAAATTAATTTAATGTATATATATATATATATATATATGAGAGAAAGAAAATATTTTCCATATGTGAATTTCCACACATATTTTCATATGTAAATTTTATTAAAAGTGTATGTGATCGCCGAATTCTAAAAATTATAACAAATATCTGAATCTGTTCTTTTTGCTATTTATAGTAACACAAGAGTTTCCGTCAAACTTGTCTTTACAAGATATATTGAAGAAAATATTGCATCTTGCGCAGGAATTCCTCACGGGCACACCGGACACGTACGCTTTCTCACCTGCGTGGAAACAATGAGCCCTTCGAAACCGGACCCGCGTCCTAAGGTGAATCGTTATTCGTTGAAGTCTAACAAAACGCAGCCGAACATCAATCGCGGCAAACTTCTGGTGATATCCGGCGGGGATGGTTACGAGGATTTCCGCGGGCCTCAAGCATCCGCCGAGCTGCAAGCAGGTCGTGAGGATTCCACGAACCACCTGCTGCTGTGGAAAGTGTGATACGATCTAGCACGGCCCCAGGTAAACGATAGAAAAATTTTCTCGCGGGGAAATCTTACTCGAGAATGGCCAGATCGAGCATCAAATATCTACGTTATGTCGATACGTATCGATTTTGTATAAATCCATTGCTATTTACAAGATAAAGGAATAGTGGATAATGCAATTCTTATTATAGAAGTCGAGCCAGCAATTTTTTTGGCACAAAGTTTGTCCTTGATTTTAAATGCGTTTCCTTCTTATCGTGTGTAGCGATTTTAAGTTGTTAAGCATTACATACTATAGAACGAATTTATCGCTGACTTGTTCGACACTATGTATGCTAAATAAAAATTTTTCATCATGCTGAACGACGTTCAGGATGATGTGGTAACTACTTTGTGTCTAGTAAGTATTGCATCGTTCTAACAAAATCTTAAACATAGAACTCTGCTCCTCTGTCAATGTGAGCCATCTTCCGGTAGCATTTAGAGCTTTATCATTTACATATTGCGTTCCTGTAGTGACTTTATTTCGTTACATTGGTTTTTTTACGAAAAAATTCTCTCTTGTTATATTTCTATAACAAGAATTTAGAAGACTTGTTTCTCAGGAAAGTAAGATTCTCATATTCGAAATTTATGCGTGTTGTATTATTTTCGGAGGCATGCTTACCTTCAGTGTGACCGAACTTTGAAACGCAACCGTTGCCTGACGTCACTCTTCAACGTTGGAATCACTCTCTTCCCGATTCTGGCTATTTCACGCCCCCTTTCTAATTTTTAATCCACCTTAGTACTTTGTAAACCAATAACTGTAGATCCATAGTTGAAATTTGCCCGACGAGCAAATGAATCTTTCAGTTGATGATATAAAAAATTATTCGCTAAACAATAGAGAAAATTTCGAGAAACATCAAAAGAAGTCGTCCAGACTGACAGCGCAATGCGATAATCATTTCATTAATTTCATATATTATCAAGTATTATCAAGTATTATCAAGAAAAGAATATCTCTCATTAAATATACGCTGACAAACATACAAATGTACATAGCTGTATATAGGATGTAAAAAAGAAGAGAATTCAAAACTTTTGTAAAATAATTAGTACTCACTATATGATGGTACTCACTAAACTGACCCAATAAGCAAACAATGTTTAAAAAACATTTGAAAAAACATTTGTAAACGTTTAAAAAAAAATAATGTTAAAAATAATGAGATAAGTTCTCTTTTTTCATTAAAAAAATGTTTTTTTAACGTTTGGAAAAATGTTTTGTTTTTTAATATTTAATAAACGTTTATCTTAACATTTAGAAAATATTTTTTAAATGTTAAATGTTAACATTTAGAAAAACGTTTTTTATAAATGATTTTTCGACGTATGTTCACCAAGTATTTTTTACTCAGTTTAGTGAGTACCATCTATCCTATAAGTCTAAAACCCTTTTCTTGTACACTCTCTATAGAAATGTTAAGTTTCCCTAAAAAAACCTGATCGATGTTTTTTAATCAAGTATCCTATATCCATAGGTCTGTTCTCTTTCTCTGCACTTCCGCACTAGTACCATAAGTTAGAGTGAAACAAACTTATACTATCTTTCTACTATACTTTCTTTCTACTTTACATTATCACACTAGGTGAAAAGATGTAGAGGGAAAGAGCAAACCTCAAGTATATCCCGATGGATCTACAGTTACCATTCGAACGACATTCGAGAAGCGTGAGTCTGACGAAACGGCGCTGATTGCAGGCAAGGGTCGCGGTAAACGAATGCCGGCATGACACGCCGAGGGAATCGTTGTTGTACGCGCAGCACGCGGGCGGACGCCACCACCGTCGTCTGATCGTGGCCGATCAGGACGCGTCGGCGCGCCGGGTTTTCAGGGAACGCGGGAAGGTTCTCTGGCTGGTACTAGCCGAGTGGATCAAGAGCACAATGCGGAGACTGCACTACTCACAGGATGTCAAGAAGTATCGGCTGTAGTTCGCGCAGGAGTCCGCCACTCGAGGACGGTCTCGGATCTGTCTCTGTCGTTGACACGCGACCTATGAACGGATCCACTGTTGTCTGGCCATCACCAGTCGTGCCAGTCTGATGCGACATCATTTACCAACGACGAGTTTGCTCGCGAGCTTTGCGTGTTCTTCGTTGTACTTTGCGAATATACGTCTGAGATTGTTCTTGAAGAATAATACACGTCACCAAACGCAATGTATAACGCAATGTAACGCTATGTGCAGCACGAATGTTCAGAAGGTATCTCTGAGAGTTTTCCTATGAGATATCCTATTTATTTTAGACGTCTTTAACATGCCTCTAAGACGTATTCTAGACATTTGTGCTATGTCAAAGATGATACTTAAATTTGAACATTAAGAAGCTCTTTACTTTTCGCTATACATCATGCCAATTTACTTTCACGCGTTACAAGTAGAATTCACCACTTAAAATATTATATTCTATTCAATTTGGTATTTGACGCTTTCGTGGTTTGTTTTGGTCTCCGGGCTGGAACCGGATTTTTTATCGTATTGTGCCCAATCTTTCGTGGACATTTCAGTTTGCTTCACTAGGGAGAAGAACAACCTGATACTCCTATATTCCATTTAACGTGTGTTCTTGCAATATTTATATATTCAGTCCTATTTCCACGTTAAGCCACTTGAATTTGCGTGCTAAAGCAATTGATTCAGGAGCAAGTTTACAACTCACTAAATTAGCAGGTGGTCTATCAAAGGACTGAGCATGTGTCTTTGGTAAATTGTTGGCACCAGACGAATCGCGGGATCGGATTTTATTCGTTAGATCTTGATGAGATCTGATTCTCGGTATAACCCTCGATGTCGATGTATGTTCATTGTATCATATAGGTGAAAACATGGTCTCAAGAGCGATCCGTAAGCTCGCGTTAAGCCAGCATGCTCCCAGACAATACGAAAGCCCGAGAGGCGTCCGAAAAACGGGTATACCTCTTTTAGATATCGCTGAGACGCTCCTCGGACGTTCGCATTGTTGGGAGTCGATTCGCGCACAAATGTTTTCTCTTGCAGTTAGCTACACTTTCATGTACTTTGTGCGCTTGCAATGGGAGAGGAAAGACGCGAAGAAAGATTGTGACAAGTGCAGAAAGTCTAGCTAAGCGAAACGGGTCTTCTATCGCGGACCCGATGACGATCGAGCGAGTTGATCATCGACGCCGGAGAATCGACGCGAGAAGTGAGAAGTACGATACCTGGCAGGGCGTTGAATCGAGCTTACCTATGTATGTATATGTATCAACACTGGCCTAAATCGATTAGCGGATACAGAGATCTATATTTCTTACGACTACTGAAGTGCCAAATGTCGAAGGTGAAAACGAATCTGTTCCCCATCGTTCGTCGTTCGACACTGCGAGAAAAATACCGGCGTACTTCGTTAATTCCCGGTACGTGGTATAATGTAAACTCAATGTGTTCGTGTTAATTGTTCAAGTGTTCACCGAGTCCGAGCACACGTTGGTCGGGGCGAGTGAGCGCGGACAGGGATTTATTTCTGCGGCGGAGATGGGAGGCGTGAGGGAGGAGGAAAGAGAAATACTGGAAGCTCTCGAGGACCGCAAAATTTGCACGCCACTTCGCTTCGCGCGCGTGATTCGTGTTAGACTGTTCGTATTCTCTATATTCGGATTTCATTACCTTCTGATTTGAGTACAAGAAAAGTGCCAATGATTCTTCCGTCGTTAACACGTCGTCTCATATATATACTTTTCTTCATGGCTAATTTTTCCTCGTTCCATTCACACCATACACACATACACACATAAAAACACACACGTAGAAGTTATTACTCTCGTTTGAATATTGTTTGGAATTTATCACGAACTTGAACGGATGAGTGCGTAAAAGTAATCACTCTAAAGAAGTCTCTGGTAGGGCCGATTGTTCAAACCTCTTGATAAGCTACCTGACAGTAAAATCTGTCCTCGTTTTTTCTTCAAATTGGACAAAGGCAGACACAGGATTTAACTATTAGGTAATTCACCAAGAAGTTGGAACAATCGGCCCGTAGTCTTTGATTCGGCAAAATTACGTCGGCAAGTAGTGATCATTTTTTATCGTAGTTCCTTTTAGACTCATTTATTTATTCTTCTAGTTTCCTAACGAACACGCGTATCGTCATTATAATTTACAATCGGTCGAGAGCATCGTAAAATTTAATAGCACAAAGGGAACATTCTAAAGGGTTGTGCATCACTGCTTTATACGACAATGACGATAGACGATTAAGTCATTTACGCTCGCTGCTCGTACAGGACTTTAATCTCGCGAAACTTCGCAATCAGTGTTGTGCTGGATGTTGCTGAGAAAACTCGGAAGCACATCTAGGCCTGTATTAATAATTGTCGCTTGGAACCTGTCTCACGTGAGATTCTCAAATTTCTATTCTGAGTTAAATCCAAATTCTTCAGTTGAATTACGATCGGGGTTGCGAGTAATTAATTACTTTTTTCATTAATTATATCGTGTTTTTAACGATATAATTATTGACGATTATGAATCAATGCAATTGAAGCCCGTTTACTTGACAATTGATTTCAACAAATTCAATCGAGAACCGTTCGATTGATGATTAGTTCCAACAAATTCAACTCAAGATCGTTCAATTGACGAGTGATATGAGCTAAGGGAATCGTTCAGTCAATAATTGGACTTAGCAAATTGAATTAAAGACCGTTTAATTGACGGTTGAACTTAATTTAATGATTAAACTAAACTAAAGGTTAAACTTAAACGATTAAATATAATTAACGGTGCAATTAAACATTCTTCGAATGATTTTACTTGAATCAATCGTTAATTAGTTAAACCGAAACATATTTCTTCAAATCAATTATTAAATTGAGAAAAATTAATTAATATTTTTATCTCTAATATATGTGACATTTATATTTGTAAAGTAAATGTATCAATTATCGCGAATACGTACTTAATCCTGGACATTCTTATTATTTTGGTCTTTAAATACAAATATTTAAACTTTCAACATAGAATGTATGTATATACTCAATGCTCGTATATATATTTTATATGTTTAAAGTTTAAATATTTATATTTTAAAACCAAAGCAATAATATTGTCCAGGATTGAGTCCGGGCATTGGCACTTTTATTACCTTAATCGCGATTCAACTGAAAGAAATTTTTATATGACTCTGAGTTCAAATCTGAATATCTCACTTGAGACTCTGATCCATTGGAGACTCTGGGTTCAGATCTGAGTATCTGAGACGAATAACTTCGACTAATAATTATTAACACGGGTCGTTATTAATCCTCAATTCGATAATAAATGATGTTTGCTTTACGCCACGCGACAGTCGTGCGTTTTCGTCGCTTGTGGAATACAAGCGTGCGCGAGGAACGCACCGAGATCGCTGAAAACGCGCAACATTGATTGCCTCCCAAGTCCAATGCGGCTGCGAGTGATTTTAATAGTTGACCGTGTAGTAGACATACAGTACGCCTGACAATAATTAAATGGTAATACACCACGAGGTGATCGTACACGAGACCAACCGAAGTCGTTGTGAATGGAGTCGACGTCATCGTCGGTGTTTCCGCTCGACATCCTTCGTTCTGCTTGTCGTGAAAGCCTGTTTGACGGCACGGCCGAACGATTATTCCGATTGCAGCGCGAACGCGGTGACTTACGCATTACTGAATTCAGTTAGTACTCGATTAATTGTCGCGACATGACAGCGAGTTGATTGCGACTCGCGACAACGGGGGGAGGGAATACGACAGATCCGCGAGCGAAGTGCACTCGCTGTCGTGCGAAACCGGCCGGATTGAGAAAGGAAGTCGCTCTTCGCGAAGTTTTTTTAGCACATTACACAACTTCGTCGTTCATTCTTGTTCAAGACAAGCGGACGTTTTCCAGGTGAGGAGATACTCGTCCTTTTGTGTTATTGTGGCCTTTCTATCCTGCTGTTCGCCAATTTTCCCCATATAACGTGTGCACAATAGCGTCAATTGTGATCATAGACATAACATACATGGACTCTGAACACCCTTCGTCCTGTCGTCTAATTGAGTGAAGCCAATATCTAGAAAGAGAGCGAAAATAGAGCTACAGTTTTCTCTCTATTTTGTCACTTTTTTGTTGCACGTGCATCCATTTCTCGTTTCCATAATATTACAGAGTACTCCGACTGGACTGGCAAGCAAAAGTCTTACTTAAGTTTTGATGCACACTTTGCCTGTGCAGAAAGAGACAGAGGGGCTGATGTACATGTTGTCTATGTATGAGTCTATGTATATTATGTCTATGATTGTGATACTCAAATCGGAATTCAGAATTCACTTGTTCATCCGGTATGAAAATGATATTTTGTCAGAGAAAGAGAACGACATATGTGTATTATCAAATTATATGAATCTTTGTCAGCTAATAAAACAAGAGAAAGTGTATGTATATGTACGCGCGTGAGAGTGTATGCGTGCGTGTACGCGTGAGTATGTATGTGTGTGTGTGTTCGCGCACGCAAATGTTACGCATCGAGCGTAATTTCGATCTCTAAGAGGTCGACCTCTCTAGGCAAATATACACGGTGTAACAGGAATTGCGCGAGGTGAGAGAAAACTGTTGTGGTGATTGCGGTTTCAGTTGTAATTTCGATCGATTGTTAAAATCGAAAGTAAATTATATTGAACGAGATGTGAGAGATGTTCTTGGATATATATATAATATATATATAATATATACATAAATATATATATTGATAATATTAAATATACATATATAACAAAAAAGAATCTTAATTAAGACCAGTTATTATTATTATACGTCTGTTACTGAAGTCATAATTTTAATGTAATCCTTCTACGAGAACATACTAACACGTACATATATTGTATCTCCTTATATGTTATGAATAAATTAAAATGACAGAGTGCAAACGCGCAATCACAATGACGTCTTCCCTGAAGAAGTGACCGATGTTACATCTTGTATACGTGGGCGATTCTGTAGAAAATTTCGTTGCACTCGCGCACAGATTCGTGTATACATTTTCCCGAGCGACTCTTCGCTCTTCTCTCAACGGTGAGTATACAAATTGTCTTTAATATCGTTGGTGTTCTGTCTGTGTATGTGTGTGTGTGTGTATGTGGTGTGTGTGTGATATGCGGCGAGCTGTCTGCCGTCGATACAATTGCATATTGTGTACCTATGATTTCGCTCGCGATATCTCACTGCGCTTCAATCAATATACGATCAATATACTTCGGACAAAACACGCGACGCGACAATATTTCGGTAAAAGCCAGACGGTGGAAGTGCGATGTATGTTGCATCTTATCCCTTTTGTACGTGCGAATATTGGCGGGTGTGTGTTTGTTCCCCAAAGGACAAATCGTGATCTAGTGGTAATTCTTTTCGGATTAACGTTTGTTATCTGGGAATTGTTGAAAGCGCGAACGCACTACTCTGCGCGCTACACGCAAAATATTAACGTATGTATGATATTATGTACAAATAACGATGTTCGTTTAAAATAAAGTCGTTTACAATTGCATACCGACGAGATCGCTGTGCCACAACTGCGTCGCGAAACATATCAATATATACAAAATTCAGGGTTGGAAAAGTTATTTTATGAAAGTAATCTTTACTAAAAAGTAACGGTTGAAATCATTTTTGTCTCAATGTTAAAATAGAATCAAATTAAACATAAAACACTTATGTCTCTAAATATTCCTATATTACCATTTTATATATTGTTGATAAAAATCAAATTGGTAACTCTGGATAACATACTGTGCCTTCATAAAATTTTCATTGAATTTTAACAATACGTTTTGTTAATTTTTAACAGAAGTTTTAATATTCAACTGTATATATCGTCATACAAATGATTCTCTTTTTAGCGTTAGAGCAAAACTTCCAACACTTAACAGCCGTTCAATAAATATATTTTTAGGAAAAAGTGATTATATATAATTATATAAAATTACATACAATTGTACAGGGTATCAGATACCTCGCGTCGGAGCAGTGGTGTACATAGATAAATTATATTAAAATGAACGGAAAGTTCCCTTATCATATTATCCTCTCACTATCTTATTAATATTAAATAAGTAATATTAATATCTAATAGTACTAAGACATCCGTGCTTGCTCTTTACTGCCATTTTTCAAATCTTACTGTTTTTTAATTTAAATCCAATAGCCATAACCGGTGAATAAATGCCCAGGAAAATGCAGAAAATAACAATAGACGTCATTTTCGTTATTTTATCGAAAAAGTATAACGACATTACTATTTTCGTTACAGATAGAAAAAAGTAACTCTATTACCGACAAAAAAGTAAGAAGAACATAGCAAAGTAGTATATAAAAGAGCATAGCATAACACTACAAGCAACGCGTTTCTATACAACGTTGAGATTTTTTCAGAATGGTAGGTAAAGGCTCATCCGACTGATGGAAGTTACGAAAAAATCACATTTCATGCTGCATTTTTGCCGCGTTTCTGCTGCTACGTTCGAACGACACGTAATCGAATTTTTGTGTTTCTGCCGTTATGTTCGAGTGGCACGTCGTGATCGATTTCTGCCGCGTTTCTGCTCTCTCATAATGTTACTTAATTAGTTTGATTTCTAATGTCTTTCTGTTCACATGATATGACGTCATTCTTTGTTCGATTTTACGTTGCTTTATGTCGAAAAATCATGTCTGTACTCAATATTTAAATTTTTTTCTTGTTCTGCTGACATACCGTGCCTCATTTTTGCACTATTTTTGCCATCATATCATAACGCAGATTTTGCTAGATTTCTGTTACATTTGTATACGCACTATCTGACATAGCAGATCATACTTCGTTATTGCCAAAATTATGTCAACACACATTTAGCAAAATCTGACTTTTGTAGGCTTGGCTATCTGAGTATGTGAAGAAAGTTGATCGGAAAAATAATCGTTCACAAGATATTCAATTTTTTATTTCATAAGTTATATTCTTTACATATTACATGATTACCATGTAATAATCCATACTATGGAATAATCAATATCTTCAAAAGTTTCATGCGACTTACATACTTATTATTTAGATTGTCAGTAATAGCACTTTCTCAATATTCATTTCAAATAGTTCAATATTCATCTCAAATAGTTAAGTAGACTCATTTAATATTCATTTCAAATAGTTATATTATCACGCGATCATGAATTCACCAATTTCCTTTATTTCTTATGTTCATAGCAACTTTGGTATTTTTTAAATCTCGTCGTTTATTGAAAACACTTTCATATTTGTGAAAGTGCTTAAGTGTAAAAATAACAAGCATACATTTTGTGCACGTGTAGAGAACAATTCACTGAGAGAAAAAAATAGTTGGAATAACTATAATATCACTATATTTTATAGTTCATTTTGATCTCAAACATATATTTATAGTTTATCTAAACATGAAAATATAGCAGAATGAACATAAATTTATAGTCACCATTTTATTACTCTATGTGTATAGCAAAACACACTTTGAAAATATAGTTATATGTACTTATATTTGCTAAATATTCCACTTGTATTGACTATATAAAATAGTTAATTTCTCTTATTCAATATTTGTTATTTTACTATATTTTTATTACAAATAATTATAATTCTTGGTAAAAGTTTTATATGGGTCTGTTATACTATGCTATTGTAAATATTACAAACATTATGGTGACATTTACTATAAAAATGATATTCCTAATTATAGGAATATCTCTTTTTATTATGCCATTGTAGTTCCAAATATCATAGATATTTAATAGATTTTTCTCTCGGTGTTCTGTCGCAAATGAAAGAAGGTGAGTCGCGTGCAAAGGATTTCTCAGCTCGAAATATCGCTGTGTTGCGATCGTTCTCTTCATCATCGACAAATGATGAAATCTACAAAGGATTTTTATTTCATGTCTTTATGACTGTGTTCCAATACCCATTGTCAATGTATACTGAAAATCTATAGTTCATGTTACATATACTATAAATTTTCTATGACGTTTTTACCAGTAATAAATTACAATAAAATACATTATCTTCTATTCTTCTATAAATTTTCTGCAGATTTTTAGTACTAGTAGTGAATATCGAAATGTGGTTTATGTTCGATTCGTTCGCGACTTATAAACTTTTAAAGTTTCAATGCGCTCGGTTGTCTATCACTATCATTCAATTTTCAACTTTGTTAGCAAACAATCAATAAGCCAAAAACATGTCTCTTTAGACTGTATATCAGTCACTCTGTGTCATCTGAATCAGAGTAAGTTCCCATTATTATCGCTTTGCTTTTCTTTTAAATTGCACTTTATATCAATCAAGCATATAAAGCTGATTCTTCGTATTACAAAGCCACAGTTTTCCATTGATAACATAGATTAATGACCACTTTAACGCTGTGGGGCAGGTCATGACGTGACGCGTGAATGGAAACAACAGCCACATTCCGTAGACGCATTTCCAGAAAGCTATCCAGGAAAACGTCTGTAACACTTGAAGTCACGTTAGCACTAACCGTAAACTGAAGTACGTAACAGTAAACTTCTAATGAAATAAAAAGCAATCTCTTTAGTAGCACTTATATCGGTCCTTAATTACCTATTTAATTACATTGTAATTATATTGTACACCCATTATGCAGTCGAGTGTCATAATCGATTAAAGCACGGCAAATACGCTCATACTTATATATACTTATCTCATTCTTATCTTCATCTCGTTTATCATAACAGTATCGAGATTAATATTGTCACTGTGGACAGAGATAAGGAAATAATTATCGTGATTATTTGCAAAATGGTAGAAGACTTTTTTGTTCAATTTTACTCACGTTGGTGCGCGTTGTGTTTTGTTTTTTTTTGTTTGTCAGACATTCTATACATATTTTTTTAACGTCAATGAAAAAATGTGTAATAAAAAGATTATGAAAAAACAAAACTTATTTTACATATCCATTAATTATACAAGATGTCTAGGATTAGATGCTGAGAGTTAGAGTTAGTTGTGTGCAGGCATAAATCTTATTACATTACATAGAAAAATCCTGTACTGTTCTAAACTCTATTATGGTAATTATTAAAATATTAATGAAAGAATATTTGTCAGTCAACGCGATTGATGCGGTGGGACACCTAAATCTAGAAACACCTTGTTTACAACTAATTAAATCTTACATAACTAAAACATTTATAAAATATCTTTGCAATATGCTGCGTCTAGGATCGGACACAGTATTCCAAATATATGCTAAAAATACTAATATCTCCAAAAAAATGTATTTTATGTATATATTATTATTGTTTTAATGTATTTTATACTTATAAACCACACTTTCTTCTCTCAGAAAAACTGTTTTTTAAGACATTATAATTTATATCTATGTGTTTATGTTTGGTCTCTCGCGACGAATATATCTGGAATACATTTCCGCGCTACTTTTCCCGATTCTGATGACATTATGTCGCGTTCCCACAAGACGTGAAGGCGTACGAACGTGAATCGTACTGTTGTGCTTATTCAAGTTGCTCTCACGCTTGATGAAATAAAAAGCATAAGTAAATCATATAAAAGAATTCTAAATAAATAATTCGCGAAGTTAATCGTGTCGTGCATATTTAAAGCTTCAGAGATTTATTGGGCTGCAGCTGCACATCACGATTCTCGTACTTATTTTCAATGTTAGATTATAGCGTTCTATTTGATAGAAATCTAAGAAATGAAGAGTATCGTAGTCGCTTAATTTTTAAACATTTATATCCTGCTTTACGCTTACAAGCTCCATGATTGAAAATCAAACACATTTGATTCTGTCACAATAGAGATGTGGAGGCGATGACGTCATAGAACGATATCAATGCGTTCTTGCAACTTAATCTACAAAATGTTCTTTGCTTCCTGTTTTCTGCTTTTCACTTTTTGCATATTTGCTTCTCGATGTACTGTTTTAAGCTTGATCTATAATATGTTATTTGCTTCCTGCTTCTTTCTCTTTATCTCTTTCTGATTCAAATCTTAAGCTTTAAGCCAGAAAAAGACAGAAGCAAGAAACAGAACGCAAAGAGCATATTGTAGATCAAGCTTTATCGACGATTGTGTCTTTTGTCTCTTGATTCTTCTGGAGTTCGTCAACTTTTATCTCGAAGCGACGATAACAAGAAATACAAAAGATACAAAATACCAGTGAAGTTAAAGGAGTTGGTCAGTCTGTTACCTAATCAAAACGATCGATTGGTCCACGCAAAGTGACACTTTCCCTCAGAGAGAACAAATTGCATACGACGATGTTCCTTGGTTTCAAGCCTGATCTACAATATACTTTTTACGTCCTATTTCTTGTCTTCTATCTTTTTCTGCTTTAAGCTTAAAGCTTAAGATTAGAGTCAGAAAAAGATAAAGAGAAAGAAGTAGGAAGCAAAGAGCATATTGTAGATCAGGCTTTAGACGATAAGAATACAAGAAACAAGAAACGAAAAGCAGAAACAAGACACAAAGAACACATTGTATTAGATCGTCCATTAAGTTTTGCGGTAGATTTGTGTTTCAATTTAAGGCAAAAAAATCGCAGAACTTAATGAACGACCTAATAGATTCAGCGACCTAATAGATTCTTACGAATTGTAATCTACAAAAGTATGATTCACGTTTGTACGTACGCCCCGTCACACGGCGTCACACTTTGATGATTGCCCATGATGTGATTATACGTTCTGTCAAATCGTTATTCTCGCGCTCGTTATTGACTAGAAATTTATAGACATATATTGGAATATACATTCAATTCTCTTATTTACAAACTATGCATTCTCTTCCTTAAAGTAATCTCTTTAAGTAACATTTTAATTTCGCGCGCGGAAAGTCAACATCACTATCACTTGCCTGGCGCAAATGAACGGAGTTTTTAACAAGTCGATCGAAAATAAGACAAATGTCTTCCAGTGTTCGAGCGACCGAAACGTTTACGTCGTGATTTTTCGCTCGCTTTAATCATTATGTCAATGCCCAAACATTTTACTTTACATTACGACCCGGGTTCTCGAGTATTTATTATGGAATTTCTTATGTTACAAGTAGAAAAAGGCTTCCCTTGTTCAACTTTTCTAAGAATATTTCCTCAGCTTCTTCTAACGATAGTTTGCATAACGATCTCAACTCCCCTTCTCTCTCTTTTTTTGCCTTGTATAAATTTGTTTAACGCGACGCACGATGAGATAAAAGACATTTTTTTGGACAAAAGTTACTGCACGGTTTATTACTTAAACGAATAATTTTTTTAATTTATTTGTTATGAATCGCTTTACAACTTACTCATGCAAATTTTTAACAATAAAGCTTTGAAATTCGAAATAACAGATCTGTGATAGTTGTGAAAAATATTGGAATTCTAAAATATTGAATCTAGTTACTAAAATAAGTATATACAGGTTTTTTGGGATTACTAATGAGACAAATCTACGATCAGAATTTCAACTTTTTGTTATTAAGAATCTAATGTAGGCTGAACAGTTTGACGATTTTCTAATAATATTTTCATTATATTAATGCATTCAGATCATGCTTTTATTCACATGTTGACATGTATTGCTTGGTTAAATACCAAAATTAGATTTACAATTTTGTCATGTCTGTCTCATCAATGATCCCAGAAACAGGTATATACTTATTTTGGTGCAAATATATTCAATATCTTAGAATTCCAATATTTTTTACAAGTATCTTTGATCCCCTATTTTAAATTTCAGCTTTATTTTGTAAAGATTGGTACGTTGTAAATTGTACCTATTAAACAACCGTGTGATCAAGTTTCATGACCAAAAATTCAAAATCTTTTCCCAACATGTTTTTGAATAAGTGAGTAAACTTATGTAAAATTGTTCAAATAATAGGGGGGAGGGAGATCAGATATTACATTTGGCGATATTTTAATAAAAAATACTTATTAATTAAAGTTAATTAATATATTAATTAAAATTTTTTAAAAGATACCTAAAGTGGGGAAGGTACTCAGGTATTGACATAAGGGTTAAGAAGATCAGAAACCGTCCTCAGACCGATGCTGTCACCACATGCGACTCGTGTTCCTCGCTAACAGGTGTCGACGGAGCCTCGGTAATCGGCGTAGGCGGGTCACCACTGCTGCATTGGTGATCCATCGTTCCTGTGGCACAAAATCGTTTTGGTGAAAGAGAGAGAGAGAGAGAGAGAGCTCGTAATTTTTAAATTTTTAATTTTAACCTATTCTTTAGAGGAAAAAATGGTATCATGGTCCCCTTCCCTTTACATTTTGTACAGTAATTTTGTTAATAATTAGTATGTTAAATTGAAATAAAATTTAATGAGTATATTTGTCAAAGTATTGTTTAATCAATTTTAGACTTAAAGTTGTGTAACGTTTATTACTCAGGACGATATTTATAAAAATGTAGCGAGATTGCATAATGAGTCGAAGAGAAAGAAATAGTAATGTATTCCGCCTCCCCACTACTAAATTAGATTTAAAAAATTTGTTTTGTTTAGAAAAACATAGTATTTTACAAATTTGTAAATTTATTCAAAATAAACTTTTAGAATAGTTAGTTTCTGCATAAAATAAATAGGTTTTTAAACATAACTTCAATTATTTTTTCAAAAAATTTACATTATATGTAATATTTACATTATATATAACGTGAATTATAGATTAGCAGTAGAGCTACAAGTGGCTCATCGAATAACTACTTCGATATAAAAAGAAGTATATGTTATAACAAAAATACAAGCAATCTTGTCTTTTTAACAGGTTCAATTATCTAGTAGCGCAGGATAAAAGTAAAAGAAGGTCACATGAAATATGTATCCTGATTAGTAGTTACGGGATTTCCGCGAGAGGTCCCCATAATCTTCTTTCCACACTATTCAAACGGCAATCGCCCGCATGAATTCACCTGTGAACGAGCCAGAGCGACTTCGATCCGGCCAACAGATCCTGCAGAGCGGCTTCAGCAATCTGAATCTCGGACGTGGCATTCGTAGAATCACATAAATATACGGATCGAGTGTGAAGTGAATGCATAAAAGAATATCGGCCATGATGAAGAAGATACGAATACATTTTCGTGTAGTGACAGCCGTCGGAGGTAGCTTCATCGCAAATTGGGCCAATGGAATAGATATCTGCGGGAAGATAAATAAAGAAGAAAGAAATCAATCATTTTTCACGATTGATTGATACACGAATCAGTCATTCAATCGGGAGAACATGTATGATGCAAAAAAATGTTTTCCTAAAACCGACAAAGGTTTTACAGTCGCTTCCATTTCGCATAAATCGCTCGAAATAAACTGCAATTTGTATGTTCTCGCATACTTTGCGTTATCTATTTTGATACACAATATTTTTAAAATGCAAACTGATTAAATTCTTTGACACGCTTATAAAAGATGCATTTGTTGACTCATATCCTTTTCGCGACGATCGAATCGATTTTCTTCATCGAGGAGCGAAATCTTCCACCGCCATGTTTTCACGCGGCAAAATCGTCAACAGGATGATCAATTCAGTAACGACTGGAATATTAGCTTGCGAATATCTCCATGGCTCGTACGTGAGACTATTCCTAAATACTCGTTTATCCTTCTCAACCTTCTCCACTTGTAGCGGAAACGCACGATATTTCTGTACTTCACAGCTCTATATTTTAATAACAAATAAGTAGGATTACAATTTCCAGCGTTGAGATATTTTTTTTTAATAAATTGATTTGTTTACTTTTTCATTGTTATTGTATCTTAACTCTAAAACTCTGAACATTAAAATATTACGTGAATCCTACCAACATTAGTAAAATTTACCGAGCGCATTTTTTTTGTGTTCACATTTCTCCGAAAAATTATTGAAATTTAATGTTTCTTTTTTTTTAATCAAGATAGAAATCATCGAGAAATATGATTCTGTTAATATTTCTAGATTCTCAAAGAGCTTAAAAAATAATAAAAAGACTATAATTATAAAAATATAAAATATACAAGAATTATAATAAGAAAACAAAACACATGTATTTAAGAACGGTAACATTCGAAAAGTTAGTTTGGCTAAATTTTATATATGTTTAGGGTTTTTGGATTGAAGGGTTTTTGGAAGATAAGAAATTTTTTTGCGGAAAAATAGCTGAATATTAAATTATATATACTGTATTGTAAAACCTAATCTATTATAATAAAAAATTGGAATATTAAAAATTAATTTTGTACACTGCAATCACTTGTGTTTATATATGTATATATGTACACACGTATATTTAAAAAAACATAAATTTAAGAAAAAAGTTGCAAGATAAATTATCAACTGTTTTGTATAGACTACAATAACAAAAAGTAAAAAATTTGTTATATAAAAAAATCAAAATTATCTTGAATTTTTTAAGTGGCACAATGTACTTTTTTACATAACATTGTAGAGAACTTTGAAATGAATTCAATACACTATCACAAATATTACTTTTATTAACAACAATATTAAAACAATTCAAAAACTTCAATTTGTGGAAGCAAATGTTCAAATTGCTTGCTTCCTCCTACAACACAAAATTTTACTCTTTTTAGCAATTTAGTGTGCGTAGCAGCTATTATGCTATTTGGATCTAAATTTGCACAAGCTGTAATTATCTCTTCTCAAAGATCTTAAACATTATTAATAGATGTTTTACAGCAAAAGCTTTAAGATATTTTCATAAGAAAAAATCCATCAGAGATAAATTTGAGAAACGAGATGGCTATCGGATTAGTCAACGTGTATTTATAACACGATTTTCAAAAGTAACCTAGATATAGCAGTGAAATCCTCACTTTGCTTATAAATAGTGCTATTTAAAATAATGCTGTACATTTGATATTAAATATTAACAAAAGTGACATTTGTGATAGTACGTTGACATATATATGTATGCACTGAGAGAAAAATATAGTTATCTTTGGCGTCAACTATACCCTTTTGTGATTTTAACCACAAAAATAGTTAGAAAAACTATTATTTTAGTAAGTGTTATTAGAAAAATGGCTTTTCTAATTATGTTTTTGGTTCAAATCACAAAAAAGTATAATATAGTTGACACCGAACGCAACTATATTTTTTTCTCAGTGTATGTGTATATATATACACACACAAAATATCAAGAATATACTGTCGCGGATGTGTCATAAACAAGGGAAGCAACGCAAACGCTAAAATATCACTTCGCAGGCGAATCACGTGGGCCGCATCGTCGACCTCGGGGCAGTAGTAGTAAGTAAGCGAGTATCTAAAACTGCCGGAAGCGAAGTCGCTTCCTAACGAAAAGCCGGCAGCGGCTTTCTATAGCAATGACGAATAATGAAGAGATATCTAACCGGAAAACCGAGGGAGCTCGATATTCTCTTTCAATTAAACCTTATCTAGGGGGACAAGGATATCCTTCGTTAAAATACGTTCCACGTGCATTCCGTGCTATAAATACGCCTTTATTTGTCATCTACGATGGTCAACCTACATCTTCCGCGTCCTTCGTCACAAAAGGGTAGGAAACCATAAGCAAGTTTTTCTTATTACGTTGCGCAGACAAGGAAGATCGATTGGGCTAAATTTTTTTCGCGTGGGTGAAGGTGTTGTTCTACTACTCATCTCATCCTCTAGACTCGCTCATCGGAGTGTTCGAATTAAGTTAATTGTACGTCAGATGGAAGAGGGCTCATCAATTTTTCAGATGATACCTCTACATCATTGTTTATAATACTATTATTATTTATAATGTATATTGTTAATATCAGGAAAATATGAATTTTTCTCGCGAACAAGATCTTATTTTTCGTAACATTGTCCTTTCGTTCCCGTCATTTCTTCCAAATGAGTAGTGATATTAACGTAATAGTTGCGATATATAACGTTGTTTGCTTTCATGGCTCATTAATTATTTAACAGTAATTATCGTTATTGACCACGTCATAGAACGAAGTGAATTAAATAGATGGACTCACCATATGAGGCATCCAGCAAATAACGAACGATATGGACAATACCGCCATAAGCCTTGCAAATGCCCTCTCTTCAACCGTAGCAACGATTTCCTGCCGACCTGGAATTCCGGCTATTCTCAGCAATGGTTTTGCTCTCGATGAAGCTCTGCAGATTCGTCTGAGGGCACCTGTGCGACGACCTAATCTACTCAGAGCCCTGGAGACCGCCAGATTGCACCAAACAATGGACAAACATAGAAGCGTGCCTGTAATTAAAAAAGAACCTGCAGTAATCAGTAATAACAAGTTATAGTATAATATAAATACAATATATATATATATATATATATATATATATATATATTATTATACAATATATATATATATATATATATATATATATATATATATATATTATTATACAATATATATATATATATATATATATATATATATTTATATATATTATATATTAAATATAATTTATTTATATATAATATAAATAACCGATCTTTTAGTCTTTGACACTTTCTATTGTCTTAGGCTCGGTTGCACCAACATTATTTTAGTTTTAAGTGAGACTTAAATATATGTCTGTCTTCATTTATTTAAAAAGAAAGATAAAGATAGATATATGTTTAAGTTTCGCTTAAAGCCAAAATAATGTTGGTGCAACTAGGCCTTAAACAATTTATGTATTGCAATTAATGCAATTACCAAAATCTCTCTCGAAATAATATCAATTCCTCGTCAAAATTAGTTCAAAAGGCATAGCTTTTATCTTACTCTTTTTTGTTGTTCTTCTGAAAGTTCTTCTGGTTTAGATAGGTGAAAGATTAAAGGTTTTTACAATTTTATTAAGTATAGTTTTTCCTTTTCTCATTATTTTAAATATAGAAATAATTATTTAAAAAGATTCTCTTCAAATTTTCTGTGCTGAGCGTAGTGCTGCTGAACATCTCTAACTAATGGACAATATTACAGCTTATGTAATAATCTGCAACGAAAAGCCAAGAAAATTAAAAAACTGTATTAAATTTACTGTGGAGAATGAACTTATATCCTCTGGAAAAAGTACAAAATTAATATTTTTTCGGAATACTAAATAAAAAAGAAAAATTATTTGTAAGTTGCAAACGAAATTGTCTAATTGTCTAATAACAGAAAACTACTAATCAGGATACATATTCTATACTAGTCTTTTTACTTTGCTCTACTAGACAACACACACACACTGAAGTTTTTAGCATTAATTACCAAATGATTTGATTAGGTCAACTAATTAAAGATTTTGTTCTACTATTTATTTTGTAATTATTACCAAACAGTTTGTAACTATATTTAGTACTCATATTGTTACATACTAGTATATTGTTACTATATTTAGTACTTATAATCGCACTTAAATATCGCACTGAAACGTCTAATAAAATGCATTTGTTAACTATTACTAGACTTTTCTTACAGTATATAGTAAAGTGATATGACTTCTTTCAAACATCAGAGTAGCTGTCAGCTGTCAGCTGTGCCTGATCCACTTACCGAAAAGGCACCATACATAAGCGTAAGCGATGTCTCTCGGTTCAGTGGCCTCCCTGTAACGTACGCAACGTTCGCCTTTGTAGTATAATCCGAAACCCAAAACTGGAAGGCTGGTCAACGCCAACGCTGCTAACCAAAGCGCCAACATGCACCGCACAATTACCGGATACGTCACCTGCTGAAAGATACATGCGTGTCACCCATTAAGACACCGAGACCCCGTGAACTCTGCGATGACCGCGCGACGAAGAAGTCGACGAAGACAACCTGTGGCTCGACCACAGCTTCATCGGAGGAGCAAGTCTCAGGTTCCGCTTTAACTTATGTGATAGCTTTATATCTTGTTATATACAGAATACTATACAGAACGTCCCAAAACAACTTTCAAAGTTCTTGTGGAAGCGTAGTATAGATTGAGGTGAATATAAAAGTTCTATTCCACTTTGCGATATTCACAATAATTATTGAGATATTAGTACTATTGAGATATAAATATTATTGAGATATTAAAGAAGTTTTATGAATGATAACGCAAGATGAGCTGTAGATGGTAGATGAGTAATGGCAACGTCTGCTATTGTATTTATATGTCTGCTTGTGTAAACTGAACAAAAAAGTTTTCTATCCTAATAACTTTGTAGATTTTTTATTATTAATTAAAGATTGGATAGTCACTCGCGATAACATATTAATATTACCTAACTTAATAATTAAAAATCTATAAAGTTATTAAGAAAAAGATAGAGGACTTTTTTGTTCAATTTTGCGTGTCAATGTTGTTCAATTGGACCCAACAGGCACACAACAGCACACATCGCCACTACACCTCATCTCACGCGTGATTACTCATCAATCTTCCTTAATATCTCGATAATTAATATACAAATATCGCAAAATGTCATAGAACTTTTATGTTCACTTTAATCCTACTTACCTCCACGAAGGTTATTCCAAGACACCCTGTATGTAAACACGATATACGCGGTTTGCATCACACAAGTGCCCGTGGTTCGCGCTATTGATAGAAATCGACATCATTCTATCTTCCCCTCCGTCAATTATTAGTTTCTTGAATAATGAGACGTCGCCGCGTTTTGAAACTCTATTGAGAGGCTGCAGCGATTCGCCATGGAATTTATTGGTTCCCAATGCTCGCGTAAATCATCCCCTTTTTCGCATTACGCGATTCTCAATCTGGATTTATGCATTCCTCTACTCTTCGCTCCACAGGGACCGTCGGCCAGAGCGGAGAGAAGGAGAAATCGGAAGATCCCGAAGATGATAAATAAGAAGGTGAAGGACTTGTCACTCCTTGTCGTTCTTTCCTCTTTACGCGTTCACGAAAAAATGACGGCGATTTCACTACCTCGTTAAAGTAGGCCAACTTTGACGCGCGAGATGTAACACGCGTTCGCGCTTCGCTTCCCTTCGACGAGCCACGTTATTATGGATGTTTTGAGAGCATCGTCGGACGTTCATCCTCCCCGGAATCTCCGCGCAATTTTCAAGGCCGACGGCGAATTCGCACTTGAGATCGACGAAATTAATACTCGTCTCGAATTAAACCGCGCCCGATAGAGAGGAATTAGGCCAACAAATCCGACATAAACTTTACGGCGCACGAGAAGACCTACAAAAATGGAAAATGACGAATTGTAATAAAAAATATTGCTTTGCAGTGAACTTTACTACACTGAAAAAGGACTGGTAATTGTTATTAAATGTATTTAGTTATAGAATTGAAGTAAAAATTCGGTAATTAATACAAAATATGATAATAATAACCAAATACATAATAGATTTGATGTACAAAGGATTTTCAATCACAGTCAAATAGACTAAAGATTTTAATAATAGCTACTAAATATTTAACTTATAATAAATTTAATTTATATTATCTGTTAATTTATTAATATTTAATTTATATTATCTATTACCAAGTATTTGATGACTACTATCGTATATTTGGTAAGTGTTATAAAATCATTCAATTCTGTTTGATGAAATATTTGATAACTATATATGTGGACTTATATAAATTACGGAGGAAGGAATTAATATTTTATTAATAACAACACTGAAGTATTGTTAGATATTAAATATTCTACGCGGTTTCGCGACTATATATATATCTTCTATCAAAGCAAAACATAAAATTTTTGAAATATTACTAACGAAACATTTCTGGAATGATGTTTTCCGACGTAATCGGATGAATACGCGATTATTTACAGATTCAGATGACACAATGTCGTGAATATTTCCCGACCACTCGAGAAAAAGAGTTTAACGTATATAGAATATCAGTTACGGAAAACGTATACACCGTAGTTAGAAAAATTATATCACGAAGGGGCGAACAGTATCGTAATAGATTTTTTGGCATTATCGAGTATTTTTTTGTACAAATAATATTGATTAATCTCATATAGCACATATATTTTTGGCACTCCAATTTTTTTGCTCTCACTTATATATATATTTCGTAAAATTTATAAAAAATAAAAAATATATTTCCAAATCTGTAAATATAGAATTATATATACGGAAATATTCACTTAAATATTTCACTTCATTGCAAACGTTTCTCTTGTCAATTTTCTTGTCAATACTTGTGAACCTTTAAGAAAAAAATGTTACATATTTCAATTTCACAAAGTATAATTATTTGGATATAGAAAAATACATCTTGTTTTTAATAAAGAGGCAAATAAAATTATTAATAGTTTATGCGGTATATATTAAACTATATTAATTTTAATAATTAATCTATATTAATTATATAACACGGATTTTATTAAAATTATTACAAAGATTAGCTATACCTAAATTTTTTTTGTAGTACTAACAGCATATATTTATTTAAATCTAAATACTTTTATTTAAATAGAATAAATAATTGCTTTCATGAAAAACTAAAAGGTTTCCTTAAAGTTTCAATACTATTAGTATTTACTAAATAAATACCGATTATTTTTTAAATATTTTTTCTCTCAGTGTATATTTTCTCTCAGTTTGTTAGCGCATAATAAATTTTTATTTCGCTAATTCGCAGCTACTTAAAAATTAAAAGTCAGACCAGGTTGAGAATAACTTTAATGTGCCAAATTAAGTTTAATTACCAAGGAAGGCTTTCAATATATTATGATTAGCCAGTAAATTACAGTTTGATTTTGCTCTATTCTAGAACACTATATGTAACACGGTCTATAAATTTAGAATCGCCGATCACGAATTTGCCAAGAAGAGCCGCGTTGGAATTTATATGTGTTTACATCATGTCATGAGAAGAAATAATATGTTACGTTGAAAATTTATATCTCAAAGTTATGCTAAAAAGAATCAAAAGCATAAATTAAAAGATTTGATGTAAATTTAAACTTTCACTTTTTTAATTTTACTGGATTTTGTTTCATATTGATTGTGTGTATGCATGTATGTTGTGTGTGCTATTTCGTAGCTACCATTAATGAATAAAACTAAATTTGTAAGTTCATTATGGATTATAATTTGATGGCATAAAGTGACACGCGCAAATTAATATTGATCTCTAATTTCATTTTAGCGTATGATCCTATTGAGAAAAGTGTCAAGAGTTAGGTGGGAGCTTCCTGGAAAAGACTATTTGATGAAGTGCGGCGAATAGCATTAATCACCCTCAATTAATCGCAATCGTGCGTGCTGCGTGTGAAAGTGGCCGCAGCGTAAATTGATGCTTCATCATCGGACTGCGTCTTTCGTGGCGCGATCGATACTTTCTCAAAGGTAGTGATTTGCGACTTTTCCGATATAAAAAAATATCCGATTTATTAATTCGTCCGAACAGTTTAATTCGCATCTCAATACTTTAGTAATGACGCGCTAATGTAATTTGCATAAACAGATTCTCATCTCGCCGATCAATCATCGAGGCTGTCCGTCCTCTTATACCTTCATCGTAAAATGTGGCCGTTCTATAAACGTCGAAGCTCTGGAGTGCCTTGATGGCGCACGCGAATAAATTTTCTCACACACGCCAGTTCAGACATAAAGCGAAACCATGTTGTGAATTGCAAGGCATAGTTTATTTTGGCAATGTGTTTAGTCCGTTGTCTCTCGCGCGGCTGAGAGAATCAGTTTCTACGGTAAGTGAGAGCATAACTTCTTTCAGTTTTCCTTTTTATCTTGTATAAGAGAGAAGAAAGAAGATAAACTTACTTAAAGTTTATTCCTGTCTGATTAATTTCCTTCATTCCTCTTCAAGGATGATAATTATATTTTTTCTGCTTGTACATAATCGCAAAACTCTGATTGTACAGAGCATAATAATAATAATTTGTTTATTATTCTAGTAATAATAATAATTTGTCTCTTATACAAATAATGTATAAAGCATGAATGATACAAAATTTAAGTTGAGTTAAGAGACCAGAAAGTATGACAACTATACAGCTAATATTATTGTTATCCTTAAACATTCAAGTAAAATAAGATTGGATAAATTATAGTAAATTGATGATTAATGATATAAAGTTTTGTTAAATTTAACTTTAAATTGTTCCTGTATCGAGCAATACTAAGACCAAAGGAAACGACATAATATTCCAACATCAACTAAACTTGTCGTTTGTTTTCGCACGCCGCACGCGTTGAAAAGTAGGAACGCACGATTCTAGACTGTTGGATCTTCTGCGACTCAGATTATATATAAATTGATTGTGCTACGTATGACTCTGAAAATCGTCGATATTAATAACTCTGCCTATTTTTGATCCTCGTTATATTGAAACTGAAACATCACCCGGATTGAAGTGGATACTGAAGTGGATGACAAACTAATGACGAACTAAAAACTAAAAAATGTCGATAACGCAGAGACGATCGTCACTTACACAATCACGCTATCCGTTTTGTATTTTTTGTACATACAGAACTTACATGAATATATGTTACTTTGTTTTATCATATTCAGCAGAAAATCTAACCACGCATGTGTAAAAATCTTTCTGCAAACTTTTCCAATATTCTTGAACTTTTGAATTCAGATGCGAAGGTACAATAATGTTCTCCAAAATTTTTCTGCTTGAAGCAGATTTTCGGTACAAGCTACGAAACTTTTGGATTAGGCAAATATTACGCTAATTGACAGCTTGAGATATATTTTATATTTAAAATTTTTTTTGTTTTCATCACATATTGAGCAATGGTCCTATTTATTTTTATACGTGTTTTCATCGCGTAAAAACACTTGTAATTCTGTACAACGTAAACTTTGCAGAAAAATATCAGTATTAAGTCAGTAAAGTTTTAAGCTTCAGCATTTCTTGAATTTTCACAAAAGTCGAAGAATGCGTTCTCCGTCGCAAAAAATAATTTTATTACCATTTGACGACGTCCTCTAGGTGGTTTTCATCAAAGCGATCAAAAATAATCGACCAACTCCAGATATTATCCTCGCTATTTGCACAACACTGACGCCATCAAACTAATAGACCAACTCTCAGCGCTCAAGCGTGCGTGCGAAATGCTAAATGCGATATCTCTATGTGTTATTCGTGCTTAGAATATTCGCCATTCTCATTGTAAGATGCGTACAAGTGTTGATGAGTTCCTGAGAATGTCAATGCGAAGGTTTCCTCGGCTTGATAAGTGATTACGTAATACCGACTAGCTGACGTTTCCGTTACTTCACGTGCAACCTCTTCTCCACGAGAAAACTCGTGTATGATAACGCCAAGGTCAATATCGGCAATTGAAGAGTGAATTCTAAGGACGTTTCTCACGTGTGTAATACTAGTAGTTCGAGGGAAACAAATTTAGAAGCTTAGAACCTTATACTTAAGCCTCGTTACATCCCTATCATTATAACCCTCATCATTGAGGTGTATCATTAGGATCCACTGGAACCAATTTTAGCTTTCAACTTCTATTTTTGAGCAGTAATCACTATTTATTAGGATTAATATTTCAAAATGTATTATTTCATTGGGACTTCTAGTCCAAAAAGAAAATTTACTTCCTGCCTTCTCGCTTGACTTATATAATTGTTTTAACATTTGATATACACCCAGACAACATAATGTCTAAAATCAGGACATAAGACGTCTTAAAGATTATCTTTAAGATGTTTTTCAGATGATTTATGTATAAATGTCTTTAAGACATCTTATGTCCCGATTTTAGACATTATGTTGTTTGGGCAACCACATAATCTTTCGTGACTTTTGACTTGTATTACTGGAGAGAGTCTGATGGAGCACTGAAATGTCTGGACTGTTATGTTAAATCTAGCTTAAATTTTGCTTAAATGTATTTGTGTTATAGCACTATTAAAACTTGGTTCTTAAAAGCCTTTTCTTTGTATCTTGTTTTATGTTCATCAGAGCCTTTTTTCAGATTTTCTAAAATCTACTTTCTTTTCGATAGAAGAAATTAATCCTTTAACTTCACCACAATGAGATATACCAAGGATAAACGTGAATGGTCATAACAGTGAAATGCGAACGTCAACGGGCTCTCAGTTGATTTAAACAGCCATTCCAGTTATTGTAGAAGCAACGTAACTGCGTCAGCTACTTTCTACGAACGTGAGATTCCCTTCACTAATTTCCGCATAATTAATAACCGCTTGGAGAAGTTTTGCAGTTCTAGGAGATTAAAGCGAGGTTATCCTAAAGCTAGGCTTACCTTCTGATAAACGAAGGGCCTAGTTAAGGCCAGCCATCTCTCCCCCGCCATGACGATAGCGACACAACCACTGAAGAGGCCGAAAAGTCGCCAGACCACTCGTAAAGAGCAAAATATTCGCGTGGAGGCCACGTTACCGACATAAATTGTGACATACATCTGTACCAGCATCCCCAGTAAAGCGGTGAGATCGTTGGTTGCCAGACAACGCAACATTAGCAGGTGCTTGCGGTTCCTCCCCTGAAAGGAAGCAGTATTAATGGGGATAGCATGCATTATCGTTTCATTGCTTTTTATTACTGAGAAGGAGGATGAAATCACCCTTAAGCAAGATCAAGAAAGAGCTCAGGATACACGCATCTGAAGAATGTGTATTTCTGGCTGTCGTGTTAAATTACTATTAGAGTCTTGTGTGGGACATTTTATATTTACGCGAGATTTCTACTGTATGTTTATTCATCAAAATAATTCTCGCTCTCGTGGAATTGTTCTGTGCAAATAGGACTATCTACAAGATGATTTTCGTGATAGAAAAGCTCTTTTCTCGTGATTAAGTCCACAGGATCTATGAAAGGAGTTTGTGTGTGTGTAGTAATTCTAAATGGATTTTAAGTCTTTACATATAGTTGACTATTCGAGCACTAAAGTGCCTCTGGAAAACAGGACATTATAATTCAAGACATTTTAATTTATTGACACAATAAATATATTAAGGAGAAATTAAACAGATTTTTACGAATTTTTCTTTAAAGATGAATAAAGATATTATAATATGGAGATTTGACTGTATTATTTACTATTGCTTTAGGCACAAAAGAATTATTTTTTGTTTAAAAAAATTGAAATTTCGTCGTCTACGTTCTTTATGCTAAACGAGGTACGACGCTTCTAACTATACAATGTTAAGCTTGTGTAATAATTTAAAACAAAATAGAACAAGAAAATTTTAAAACTACATTAAATTTTCTGGAGGATAAACCTAAATCCTTCGGAAAATTTTCAAAATTAATATTTCTTCTGGGATATTACGGGAAAGAAAAAAAGAGAAAAAATGTAACTTCGAACTGCCGCCATTCTACACAACTTCAACTTTCTGCATATAACAAATATTCATCTTTAAATTTAAGTGATGTTGAAATCGATGACGAACTCGAACAATGTCGATAACGCAGAACAATGTCGTAACCAATATAATCAGGCTATACTTTTCGTATTTCTTGTATATATAAAATTTATATAAATATATGTTACTTTGTTTTATCATATTCAGCGGAAAATCTAACCATGCACGTGTAGAAATCTTTCTGCAAACTTTTCTGATATTCTTAAGCTTCTGAATTCAGATGCGAAGGTATAGGTTCTTAAAAATTTTTCTATTTGGAGCATCCACACTTTCGGTATGCACAAGCTGTGAAATTTTTGGATTAAATAAATATTATATTAACTGACAGCTTGAAATTTACATTAAAAATTTGTTTCGTTTTCGTCACATATTGAGCAATGCTCCTATTTATTTTTGCACGTATTTTCATCGCGTAAAAGCATTTCTAATTCTATATCAATAGAATGTAAACTTTACAGAAAAATATCAGTATTTTGTTGATAAAGTTTTCAGCTCCAGTATCCCCTTAATTAACTTCTTAAAATTTCTGGTTCTGTTTGCTTAAAATTATTATGTAAGTAATATTGTCCATTAGTTATTGTCCAACCGCACCAAAAACCTAGAAGAAATGTCAATACTTAAAAATAATTTTGTTAAACTTAAAACTTAAAACAACGTTAAACTTAAAACAACGATAAATGGTATGTCCAAAAGTCTATATCGATATCTTTATTTGTATCTCTAAAGAAAATTTGTGAAAGCCTTCTATTCCTCAGCTATCTAAAATAGAAAAGCTCCCTTTAAATTATAATGAAATTTAGACACCACGCATGAAATTATAGTTTATACATAACATGCAATTCTCAGTTGTGAAGAAGACACCTGTTTCACTGGCGGCGGCACGAGGAGAACGTGTGTCGATTAACACGAATCTGATGCGTGATTTCATCTCAATGGCTTACCTTATCTCGATGAAAGAGAATGACAAGAGCGGACACATTGCCGATGACGCCGGTTACGTAGACGAGAGTCAGCACGAGTTGAGGCACGAAAGTCACGTGTCTCTTTGGCGCAACGCTGCTCATTATATCGGGCATCATCGTCGTTGTCATATTAATGACCGAAGTGATGTTGAGCCAGCTCTCCGTCAACATGATGATCGCACTTTCTGCGGCACACTCTCAGTTTTGAAAGATCGAATTCCTCTTATCGCTTACTCGCTCAACCTCGTCGGAGCTTATCCAACTAGGCGCGAGACGCTACGTGCAGTGCAACGACACCCTGACCTTATTGTTCGCAGTGGCTCGCACCAATTGTTATGATACGACGTGGACGTCACTTCCCCTTAAGGAGCATCGATCTCCTCCAATTGCAATTACCGCTTCTCCTTCATCGCGCCATTCAATTTTTCCTTCTACTTATGATAGATCGTAACCGGTATCTATGATGGATCCTAAGTGAATGAAGTCGATGAGAACAGTCGCGTTTTACCATGCAAAATAAGCTTGCAAAGCAATACTTTTTATTCTCAAATTTCGGTGAGGCAGAAATCGTGGATTCAGGCAGTCTCTGTAACGTCTACCCTCGAAGCTGCGTCCAGTTGTTCACCTGTTTCGCGACGCCTGTCTGGGATTCTTCGGGGCAATGCTCGCACGATTTCACCTAAATGATCTGCCAATCGAGTCATCGAACCGGTCCTCGCCACGACGGACAACGCCGATCACTCGTCGCGCTCTTCTCGTCTCAGGGAATCCTGGAGAGCCAGCGCTAGACGACGCGAACCTGCGGGTCTCTTGATCAGACGGGGTGAAGCAGGTCTCAGAGACTCCTCCGACGAGCGCAGTCACCGCCTGACTGATTGGAACCACGCAGTTGGATCCAGTTTTGTTTATTCCCGTAGGACGGCTCGATCGCGACGTCGCCAATTGCGCCTGCGCGAATTCTTCAGAAGCAATTATTACGGGAAGTCATCGGTCATTTATTGTTGAAATTCACGGACGACAACGTCGACGGAAGCTCTAAATATCGACACGATAAAACTTTTTTTTGCATGTCATCTCCTCACACATGCATTATCTTACGTTTGCATAAATAAAATTGAGATCTTCTCTTCATTTTCTTCTACTATCACCGGAAATTAAAAACAAAGTTAGAATAATAAAGCGAAATATTCTCTCTTTTCTATTTTTAAATCAAAATCTCCTGAAAACAGGGAAAAATTTATTTTCATGCAAAACAGAAGCTAACTGTGTTTGCGATCAGACATGTCAAGTTTGTAACTTTTTATTGTAATTTAATTTTTCCAATCCTGCATATGTGTGTATGAAAGCAAATATTTCTTTTCTATATTATTACTATTATTAAGATTTTTTACACAATTACGTGAAAATAAATAAATAATACGAGATGGTCTGTAGGAAGAGTCCTCCAAATAAACAGTGATAAACAACATTTTAATTCTCTCTTGTCAATTTAATATTTAATTTAATAGTCAATTCAAGTTTTTAACTCTCTCTTTCTCTCTCTCTCTCTCTCTCTCTCTCTCCCCCTCTCTCTCTCTCTGTCTCTCTCTCTTTCTCTCTCTCCCTCTCTCTCTCTCTCTGCCGTAAAGAGATAGATACATATAATAAAAAGATATATAGTTCTATGATTTATATCAATCTCTTTATATTATATATAACGGTATAAAAATGAGGCACAGTAAAAAAAAGATTTGCCCGGCAGCGCTTCACCAAGATTCGCACAGACTCCAATTCGCCGGTATGCGGGTGTTATGAATAATGTATGCTACATGTGCTTTTTGTATACAAGAGAGCGCACCGATCGATAAATAATTTCAAGCACGAGGAGGATAATGCGTTAAACAAGCTCTGCCTGTTCAAGGATCCGAGACACAATGATGCGTTCCCGGCAAGGAATGGCGATGAACTTCGCGCGGATTTGTCAAGATTTGGACATGATCCAACGATTGGGGAAACGATAGAAAGCTGTTTAGTTTCGATTGCATTGTCTAACAAGGTTACAGTAATGCGAACAAAATAAAACCTGTTAATGCGACTTTAGAATACGCATTTCAAATACACGGACTCATTACACCAAAACGTCACATTTTTATCATATCGACACATGAAATTATAATTTATATGCAAGCAATATGTATATATTTATGAACAAGTAGCTGTAAATTGACAAGTATTTTCACAAGCCAAAAGTTGCTTGTCAATTTTCGCAAAAGCATTTAATTTCTCGAGCTTGGCTATCTTTTATGTATCGCGCGCTTCTTTTATTTTATGCGAACACTGATGACGACGCCTTAACGCACTCTTCAGCGCGAATTGATCATCTGTATTCCTGCGAGTCAGGATGCGCCTCTTAAAATGAAGGTTCATCTCTACATGGTGAGCCATAAACATACAATAGCCACTACTGCAGCTAACCAGGAAATTGATTTAAATAATGCAATCGTGATCAGCGCCATTCTTGCATAAGTTGCGATGCATATGACAACTTGACAATCTAACCAGATGGTTTCTGCATTCTTACTGAGGCAGCAGTCCAAATTAAACACCATCAAATTGATTATTGACGCAACGATCATAAATAAACTTATGTAAATAGATAGAAATTAAACTTATGTAAAAGATAGATAGATCAAAATTTTCGATTATCAGAAAATGAATCAGAAATCTTTTGTAAAATTATTAGAAAGAGAAAGTATAATTTAAAAACTTCATTTTTTTTAAGAGGAGGTTCTGATTTAGATAATCAGAAAAGAAATAGGAAGTTCTTACAAATTGTGTTCAAAGCAATAAATAAAGATATCAATATGGAGTTTTGACCATGTTATTTATTATTGTTTTAAATATAAAAGAATTATTTAAAAGAATGATTGAAATTTTGTCCAGGTATTTTGTGTTGAACACAATTTCATCAGAATTTCTTACTGTTAGAGAACATTACAGCAATAATAAATGTAATAATCTGAAACAAATGAGAGAAAATTTAACAAGAAAATTCAAAAACTGTCAAATATTACAAGATTTTTCTCAAAAATTTTACAAATATCTCAATAATCTAGTGATTGTAATTTTTCAATTTCTATTAAAAGAGAATTAGAATTTTTTATAACTCTTTTTAATTGAATTTCTCTGTTATACTAAGGTGTCATTCGTTTATTAACTAGTTAACAAAGTTCTGGGATAACCGGGAGAGATTCAAGTTTCTTGATGCTCGAGGGAAACCAGAGGACGCTCTACGCTTGAATACCGACCCAAGGAAGAGTCGGGCGATCGGCATTACAGTTGCAGCAAATCCCACCTAACTCGCTTGATTCTCGCCGGTGGCCAATTTGCTCGAGCGGTAGCCTCTCTTTGCGGGTCTAACTTTAGAAGTATTCCCGAAATAACCACCGAGTGCGTCGGCAGCTCCCTTTCCGCCAGCACGCCGTGCAGAGGGAGAACGCGGTGACAATTTTTTCCTGAATTACATCGCAAGTCTATCGTGTACTCACAGGTAAGTATTTCGATCATACCCGTTACGGCGTAATAGCACTTCGCTTTTCCCTCCTCTCCCGCGCTGCCTCCCTCAATCGCGATCGACGGTGTAGTCGAGCAATCAGACGCGAAATCCACGCGAACGTGGATCACGATCTATTGATCGCCTTTCACGGTTACCGCGGCGATTCACCAGACAATAATTTACGTTCGTGGAATTTTCCTATGGGATTAAAAGTGTTTTCAACATGTTGATTCTCACATTTAGAGGGAGCACTTTTAATATAGATCGTACGAAAAGAGTTATGATTTGTCTGATGCTTCTCTCTTATGTGATTAGTCAGTTATAAAATAAATAAAATCTGCATTAGATAAAAAATTGCTCGAGTCGCTTTATATCGTTTAATTGTGGCGCTCTCGTAGTGAGTATTTCCTACTAGAACAGTTTAAATAACAGCAAGATTTGCCGATGCCATATGAAATAGAAGTTTAATTATAATATCTAATGAGAGTAAAAAATCTAATAAAAAAATTAAGTATTTTTAATTCAATATATTCGATTAGTTAATGTTTTTCTCGTTGCTTTGATATCGAGGCAAAGAATAGAATGAAAGATCTACAAGCAGTGTTGTGTGCCTAATAAGTACGGTTGAGAGATTGAGAGAGAAAGAGAGAGAGAGAGACGCAAGTGTAAAAATAAATTTGGTGTCCGGTAGATAGAGCGGTGAACACAGATAAATAGATAAATAGATAAATGGTTTATTGAGCTATTTCCATAACGACTTATCATTCAGGATAGATCAAAAAAACAAACAGGAATTTTATCGAGTATAATAGAATGAAAATATTTGATTTTCGTAGTATGTAGTAAGATACTCGAAAAGTCAACTTATCGATCAAGATCCGATAATTACGTATAATTAAACTTTAACATTGGCATTTGAAAACAGATCGAATGCTAAATAATTAGCAAAGTAGTAACTCGCCGTCGATAACTCTGCTTGTTTCCCAGTAAAATTAAATAATCGTAATATATAAAAATTGTGAGCCTTAAAATAACCGTTAAATAATTATATATATGTCCATATTTTTAGAAATGTTTCAATCTATTATGAGAAATGGGATTGTTTAATATCAAAAACGAGTATACACCCTGGTAGAGAACGCGTCGATATGATATCGGTCGAGTTGCGTATAATTAAAGCACCTAAGGACATATCAAAAGTGTAAATATGTTATTGAAGATTGAATGTTCTTATAACGATTTTTTGTTTGTATATTACATCAATCACTCGATAATCGTTCTAAATAATTTAATGAAGAAATAATTTAAGGAAGACAAGGCTTTGGAAACACAAAAAATTTATACAGCATAATTCACTCTATAAAAATAGAAAATGTCGTCGTTAATATTTTATAAAATACTTATAATATTTATAATATTGCTATATATAATACAAATAACTAATTGCCATCTGATTATAATAAATTTTTTATCATTAATACTCTTACGGTTTAATATTAATTCTTATCAACAAGTATTAATACTAAACAATTATCGAAATATTAATGACCTATTTCTGTTCGAGTTGTCAAAATAACAGGACTTTGAAGAAATAAAGTAATGCAAAGAAAAACATTTTTATTTATTTTTTTTCGTTTCATTCAATGTTAATTAAAAACAGATAACGCATTATTGGATATTTCAATAATTTTTATAAGAAATTACAAAAACAAGTCATTTTGATCCTGTTATGTATAGTAAGTTCAGTATTAAGGAATTTTTAAGAATCATTTTCTGTATAAGATGCAATCCACATAGCAATAAAGTCAATATTATTATGATTAAAATGTTGCTATTATATCTCAGTAAAAATTGAATATTTCTGCACGGGAATACAATGTGAACCTAATGTTCTCTATCGAAGAGCAGTAGTGTTTACACTACTAAAATGTTAGCTTAAGATGGTAAAACAGTTACATTTTGACAAATATTGAAATGATATTAATTTAATCATAGAGTAACTTTGAATTAACCAAGAAAAACTTGTATTATAATATTCGAGTTTAAAGTTTATTAAAAGTCCTGGAAAGTGTATAAATATTTTGTGATAATATTGTTACTATTTTTGGCAACATAATTAAAAGTTTTTAAAGCTTAATATTAATCTGATATTTTTTAGCTATATGGGAACAGATTTGTTTTTATTAAAATTAACGAGAATAATTTGTCTTGTAATTGATTGTTACCTTATTTATACAATAATCTCACATTTAATCAGCGCGATCACTCAATGAAAGTATAATGTTATTTATAGAACATAATTTTAGAGTGATAAACGATATAATCTCCGAGTGTACGACATATATCTCTATTTAAGCATTTAAGTATTAAATATACTCGCGTATTATTACAAGTATGCATACTTACTTTCAATCCTACATATAATTTCTAATTGTATTTATATATAGGATGTGTATTTATCATTATTTTGCACAAATTGACCTCGAATTCGTGCGAATAAGAATGGATTAATATGTCACGTTCGAAGTCGCGAGTTTGAACAGAGCTCGTTTCGAGTGACGATATCGATAGTCGATGCCGGTGTTGTCATTGCGACGTGTTTGTTTTCAGTAGCGGTCGAGCCGTTGCGCCGTTGCACTTGGTTGTGTTTAATCACTAAGATACAAAGGAGATACTCGCTGTCGGAGACCCCCTGTTGTCCTCACATGCCGCAATAATGAACGAGAAGAACAACGATAACATTAAAGTCGAAGCGCTCGAAATGGAGAGGAAAGAGAACGAAGTGAGTATAAGATTTTCTCGCACACACCGGGCTACCATAACCTCTACGGAGAACTTAGTCGTCGGGAAAGTCAGCAGGATCGTCAATATGTAATAAAGTTCGATTAACAACGCGTCGGTTTACTATGATATCATTGCGTCTCCAATGACTGTGACTGATAAAATCATTTTTTTACAAAACATTAAACAGTTAACCTCCATGCATTGTCCAGCAGGGAAAGCTATTTGTTCATTTGAATTGTTGATTCGTTTGAATTGTTGCCAGATTCGTGAATCTGATTAGTATATACTCTTAGATTCAGCCAAAATTAGGAGCATATCCTAATCAGATTCATAAATCTTACAACAGTTGCAAAGCAGTTTTCTCTGTTGAACACTGTCAACAGCTTAGCCTCAGAGAATGCTGACTTCCCTTACTGTAAGGAAAACTTAATGAGATAAGTATGAGTAGAAGAGGATAAAGATCTCAGATTTGATGTGACTTTTAGGGGGAGTGTAGCACCAGAAAACGTACAAAAGAAGATAGATCCAAGAAGAAGGATGACAAGAGACCATCGGAACAATATTCGAAAGTTCTCAGTCATATCTCGAGTCCAGAAGACAAGTTGGATGTAATGTGTAAGAAATATTCACAGTCAGTCGACGAGAATCGCAGGCTGTCATTGGCACTGAAACATTCAGAAAAGAAAGTAGAGTTGCTCCTGAGAGAGAGGGAGCAGCTCCAAATTGAGCGTAGCAAAAGTATCATGACTAGGAAAAGATTGGAGAACCTCTGTCGTGAGCTACAGAAGCAGAATAAGATAGTGAAGAACGAGAGTTTGCAGAGGGTCAAAGAGCAGGAGGAGATCAGAAAAGACTTGTCGGAAAAGTTTCAAGGTGGTCTGGCACAAATAACCACTCTCATGAATCAGAACATTGAGAAGAACGCTAAAATGTACGAGGAGAATCTTGAGATAAATAAGAAATTCAAGGCAGTCTACGAGCAGGTGGAGCAGAAGGAGCAGCAACTGTTGAAGGTGCATCAGCAGATGAAATTGGACCTGCAAGTGGCCGACGCCAAGCTGGCTAAGGTGAAAATGGAGGCCACTGCCGAGAAGGAGACGCTGCTGAAGGAAAAGCAGCAGCTTCTGCTGAAAATGACAGAATATCAGACTCAGATCAGGGAGTTGCAAGCTAATGAGGTAGGATTGCGCAGTGAGATCAGCATGTATACTGATAAGTACGACGAGTTCCAAAACGCACTCAATCGGAGCAACAAGATCTACGGCGAGTTCAACGTAGAGATGGAGAAGATGACGAAAAAGTTGTACGCGCTGGAGAAGGAGACGAGTTTGTGGAAGCAGCGCTGGGCCAACAGCCACGACGCGCTATTGGCGATGGCGGCCGACAAGCAGTCGAGAGACGGTGAGATAGCGATGCTCAGCAAAAAGTTGACCTTGCTTCAGGACCTGTGCAAGATGTTCCAGTGTGAGAGGACGAAACTGTTGGCACAGCTGAAGTCGCAGAGCAACCCCAAGGCGCCCACACCGGAACCAGCCAGCACTGCCGCGCTCGAAACGCAGGAAGTCGTCAAGTACATGAAACAGATGGACGAGTTACCAAACTTGGAGAACACCTTTGAACAGCTGCAAGCCTCGCTGGCCGATGTTTCCGAGGCGATGCGAAGAAATTCAGACACGAGCACGAAAGTAACGCCAGCAAACTGTACCACGGAAGCGGAACAGAAGCCAGAGACGACAGGAACCGAGTCAGATGAGAAGAATGTCGAACGACTACAAAGCGGGCTCGAAAACGCCGCCGGAGACTCAAATGAAGATTGCGACTCGTCGAAACTTAACGGGGATACAACGAAACCGGTATTCTATGATGATTTTGTCACGTTAGATTATGTGACGGAAACGGGGGATGTTGAGGAGCAGCTAAATAGTCAGGAATCGCCAAATACGAATAAAAAGAAATCAACGATAACGATGATCAGCAATGAGGAATCAGGCGAGACCTCCAACCAGTCGGTAGAATCATCGAGACATGAGGAAGTACACGAGGCCTCTCACAAGTTAACAGAATTATCAAAGACTGAGGAAGTAAGTGAAGAGACTAGTGAAGTCACGAAACCACTGGAAGACGCGGAAACGAACGACAAATCGGATCATGTAGAGGAACAAATACACAAAAATATTGAAGAAACCAACGGTGAGGCGAATATCGAGAAACCAAATGAGGTTCCTGAGCAAAATCCTATGAAATTTTCGAGATTGGAATTCAAGACTCTTGATATTGTACAAGCGGCAGACTTAACACAAGAGAAGGAAGTAGACTTATTACGTGGTGGCGCGAATAATCATTTGAACGAGCAGTTGAAATCAAGTCAAGCCGTAAAAAATTCAAGCGATAATAGTAAAACACACGAAAACACGACGGCTGCAGAGGAGAACGCGAGCATAGAGGTTGCATGTGCGAACTCAACTGTCACTTGTAATGAAACGTCGGGAGATCACGCGCAAAATCAAGCTGCATTAGTCGAAAGCAATATTGAGTCTGTAGCTGGAACCACAAATAATAGCGAGACCGCAACTGAGTCTATTAGCGTGCTAGTTAAAAATACTTCTGAGGCCTCCAAGACTGCTGATGTAGCTGCGGCTGAAGTTGTGACCTTGATAGTCCAAGAGAAATCCGAGGTCGTATCTGAAACTGCCAATGAAGTAGTTCAAAGTAGTTCTGAGCTAACCGACGATATAGTCGATACTCGTCTGGCTAAAGACGCATTATCAGTAGGTGAAGAAAGTACTTCTAAGATCGCAACAGAGGCTACTAGTATACCTGCAATCGAGAGCATCACTTTGCCGAAGGAGGCACCAACGAAAACACCGTCGACATCGGAGAACGACTGCGCGGAGGAAAAACTCAGCAAACCGGCACCGATAAAGGTAACTATCACATGCTTAAATTGAACGCAAGTCTAATAAGAAATGAGACCAATTAACCCATATTTTATGCATATCTTAAGCAAATAATCGTAAGGCTGGTTGATTAAAATCAAACGATGTAAGAGCAAAGGATAATAAGAATCGATTACGAATTTAATTTGATATAATGTATATGCAAATTGTATTGTTATTGGTATATTTTATGTATTATTAAGGTTATACAGGGTGTCCGGTAACTCACAGAGGAGCCGCGGTGTACAGGTAGATTAGGTCAAACTGAACAAAAAATTTCTTGACCATTTGGCGAACAACCATGTGAAATTTTTAGCTATTAATCAAAGAAGATTTGTGAGTGATTACGCGCCATACGGTATTGAATTATGATGGCAACGTCTGTATGCTTGTATATCAGGTCAAACTGAACAAAAAAGTTCTCTCTACCTTTTCCAAATGACCACGTACATGTTTAGTTATTAATTAATGAAGTTTGGTGTTTATAGTTGTGCGCGTTAATATACCAATTTTTTTAATTAATAATTAAATATCTACGTGGTCATTTGAAAAATGATGGAGAGATGACTTTTATTCAGTTTCACTTAATGTACAAGCACACAGCAGCAGACGCCGCCATCACAGCTCATCTACCGTATGGCGCGTGATCATTCACGAGTCTTCTTTGATTGATAACTTAGAATTTTACGTGGTTGTCCGCAAAATAGTAAAGGAATTTTTTGCTCAATTTTATCTAATCTACTTGTACATCGCGGCTCCTCTATGAGTTACCGAACACTCTATGTCCAGTACATATTATTTGAAGATCATTTGAATATCATTTGAGATTTTTTTTTACAATATTTGGAATTTTTATGTTTCGCATTCTTTGATTTTTCTTAGTATTTCGAATAAATTGTACTTACGAGTAGCATTTTTCTTTTGTTTCAGAAGAGAAGAAGGAAATGAGAGCAGGCATCAGCGTCATTTCGTTCCTCGACGCGCAATCAAGATGTGACATAGAAATGACACGAAGAATGTATAGCTAAAAATCAATCAAAACTAGATCTTTTCTTGTTTCATAATAGAACATCCAACGATATAGTGAGAGACGCAGAGATACAAAAATGTTTAAGGACTTTATTAGGGATTTTTCACGCTTTGCACATGTGCATAAATATTTAAAAATTCCTACATTAAATCGATGTCATTTATACATCACTAGTCCTCTAGAACATACACATGGAAATACCTAATCCTATTTCTCCTAGAAAGAAGCAACTTGATTCGTTTCAATCATTCTCATCGTTTCTCCCGCCATGTTCATCGATCCATCCATATGCACGTCGACAGATTTCTGTTTCATCATTTATATAGATGTCAGGTATGTGCTGTTGTTACAAGAAAAGAAAGGCGAAACTTCAGTTATATTCGAACGAATATTGCTAAATCAGATTATATATTAATACGAAAGAATTAATAAAATAAAATATAAGAGACTTTGATTTTTTGCATATAAAGGTGAAAAAAAGTTCAGAAACTCTGCACAAACTCTGGAGGTAAGTTCTACATATTTAAACAAGAAAACAATGTCACACATATATCCGGAAATATCTGCTTTATAATTCTGAGTTATAATCGAAAGATTACATTCAACAATGAAAACTCAGATGTCATATTTTACTTTAAATTAACATATAATACGTTTACATAACCGATGTAATAAATCTTCAGCTCAATTGTTTGTCTACTCACAATTCACGACAAATGCTCAAAATATCTTTCACTTACTTCAATGCACGCATGAATACGTTGGATGATGGATTGTCACATCTTTTCAAAAACGATTTCGCAGGCATCTATGATGTATTAGTGAAGTGCCTCTTTATTTGCAATTTTAGTTATAAAACTAGGGCTTTTAAGTGTCTTTACAGATAAAAATCTAATGGATTTAGATCAGGTTAACATGTAAGCTATGGAACTGATCCTCTTCTACCTATTCATTATTATGATAGATATCAGTAAATACATCTCGAATATAGCTAAGATATGCTATTCATGCATAAATCATATAGTTACTCTTATCGCTAGAGGCACATTGTCTAGAAGATCTGAAGAGCGTTTATGTAAATAAACTCCCTATAGGCATTACCTGTAAGACGTGGTAAAACATGGACTTACCAGACAGTTACCTACAATACCAGCCTACTTATTGATCCTAAACTGCTACTGATGTCTAGCATTCTAGCATTTGTCATCTTAGAAAACAAAATCCAGATGTTGAATGTAATCTTTGGATTAGAACTCATAAACTAGACATTTCCGGACACATGTGTATATGACTTTTTTTTCTTGTTTAGATATAGAGAATATTCTTTTTTTGTTTAGATGTAGAGAACTCCCAAAGTTTGTACAAGTATTTCTAAATCATCCTGTATATACGTGGATATAATAATTATTTTATTTATATACGATACAGAGCCGCATATGAAGATTTATACGAAATTAACTCTTTTGGATATGTTAATGTAGATATTTTATATGTGAAAACAAAAGAAAAGCGCAATATAATTATATCTTTCATTTATTTGTGATTAACTAAAAGAAAATAAAGAATTGCGAGTTCTTACAAAACTTCTAACAGAAAAGTCGATCAGATTTTCTTTGTACAAGCGACCTGTACATACATATTCATTTTTATAAAATATAAATTAAAATTTTGGAAAAGTGTCCTTTCTTTAAACACTACGAATTACATGAAAACAGATACTCCTTTATTCTTCTTTCTAAAGCTCCTGCATATTCGCCGCGACCATAAAATGAGAAATGACACATTGAACATTCTTACATGTATTTTCAAATACAAAAATGTTCGAATGAAAGAATAATTCAGATCGCTTGACCATACTTTTCTTTTTCCTGAGTTAAAAAATAGCCGTAAAATTAACGAGGAAAAGTCTTGAAAATGTAGATTAAAGAAGAAGGTTGTATGGCACGTTAATTTTACGGCTACTTATTGACTGGAAAAAGGATAGACGCTATACTGTGTCTCCGTAAGTAGCAAAGCGCTGTCTTTAAACCTTGAATCGTCGACTTTCGCATGGTCAAGTGCATCATGTAACTCCAAGGATCGAAACGCCCTGATGAAAGTGTACGCTGCACTCAACGAAACCTGACTCTTGCCTTGAAGAGAACGGATCTTCCGCCAACGCGTCAATCCGCGCAAACTTCCAATAACACGTGCTCGGTCTTCCTGGGATCAAGCACCTCCTGTTTTCACGCCTTCATTGCTTGCGAGACGCGATTTCGCCGGAAAATCGGCGCAACGGAATGTGTTACATCACAGGTTGCAACTACAAAATATAGTGGTCTCTGCTTATTAGATTTACTAGCGGTTAGAACTTAGAAAGGCGATGCATTTCGAATCTATCTCAATCTGATTATGTGTATTGCTCCGATTATACCACTTCTATCTATTACACTTTCACACGATGTCATGAACGCTTAAAACAAAGTATAAAAAATGTATTACTTTACAATAACGCAAATTAATAGAGTCTCTAATCTATTTAAACATCAAAATAATTATTCTACTTAAAAATGGAAAGATTTTATTTATTTATTTTTTTTTACTTTTATAAATATAAATGAATATTTAAAATTATTATGGTAACGTCAGAGGAAGCAAAAAAATGACACATACTGAAAACTCTTAAGTAAAAATTCTTACGTGTCATTTCCAAATAAAAAGATATTTGCTAATGTGCGATTTTCAGATTTTCAGAACTCTCTCTCTCTCTCTCTCACACACACACACACACACACACACATATGCTGGAAACATTTGCAAAATTTTATATTGTAAACGAGTTATAACAATTTTCATAATTTTTCCAAATTTATAATTTCCTACAGTAAACTCAAGTAATCTCAAATGTCCTTTCACACAAATATCTTTCTATTTAAAAATGGCATGCAAGAATCTCAGGCATACGCGTTCTCTTTTGACGAAAATTTGATTCATCAATCAAAAGTGGCGAGGGATCAGGAATCTCTATAAGATTTTTATATTCTAATAGAACACGACCGACGCTCAATTAGGTCTCATTCGTGCGATTTGCCGAACAGAAGTCCGAGCATCGATTTGGCTGTCTCCGAATGGACGCACGTCGGTCCCGTTATCGTTTCGTCCGAGTGGGTCACCGGCACCTCGCCAGGATTTAACTCCGTGCTGCGCGTGCATCGGACTTGTTCCGTGAACGGGCCGTTCTCGGTGAGACCCAGGTGGGGCACACAGGGACGGCTTGTTCTTCTACAGCGTGGTATTCTCTCCTTATTTTACACGCAATCTCTTAAAGAAAAGTAAAAAATTGATCAATGATGATTCGAGATACTCAGAAATACACTTCTAATTCGTTATATTTTTCAAGTCCGTGAAACTTTTCATTTTTAAAGGTACATGAATTTTAAGATCAAATAAATCTTTTGGAAATTCTATCTCCAATTAGTTTCCCTGGGTATTTGGCGCGATATAACTTTCTGGAACGACACTCTGTCTTTCTCAATTTCTTGGAATGAAATTTCACTAAAAAATTAGAGTGACCATCAAGTTACTTAAATTAAAATAAGTTTCTGAATTTCTTTCCTCTCTATTGCTATTTTCTTTGAAGAATTTTGAAAATCAGAATATATCCTATTTTCGCTGATATTTATTACAAGTTGAAAAAAGTACATCAGTGATTTTTCACTCATTATGGAGTAAATTCTACATTGAATCACCGAGTATATCTATATAATATCTTCATCCAAAATTGAAAAGCGAATCTGATGTGTATTTCATCACAGAGACATACCGACTTTAGTCAATTAAAACGTTCACTCAAGTGAAGTATCAGGATCCACTCTGAGCTTGAGTAAAATTTCCTCTCGCGATTTCGAGTGGCAGTATTTTCACTATCCTTTCCAGGAAAACACTGCCACCTTTCACTCAGTTCAAGCGAGATTCAATTTCAAGAAATTCCGAAAACCAAATCAAAAAGTTGTCAGAAAATTTAAGACCAGTTCAAAGAGTTACATTATATCGCATTACTGATTATGAGATGCTTACAATTTTTACATTCACGGTTTATTTCAGTATTTCGAAGTTAATTAGCAAAATATCAAGTGAATAGTGACAGCACGTAACACGCATAAGAGGGCAGCAGTGCGTAAGGCCCCGATTCTCGCAACCAGCCCTGGGGAACCAGATGAAGTCTGAAAGTGCCCCGCGTGCTCGCCTTCGCCGAGCATGTCCATGCGGTATTAGTATCCGCGGGATCGTGTAACTTGTCGCACGTTTCCCGTCGACGATCGCCAATCGGAACTCAGTCAGATTCGAAGACAAGTCCTGCTCGCGTAGGTCCCTCCGGCTCATCCGCGTTCGCCACTCGATCTCGTCGCTCCCGCGGGAACCGGCGGCTGTTAGGATCATCTCGCCAGAATCAACGTCTATCTTTCGAGTCCTCCGTGACAATTAAAACTGGATCGACGACGATGAAGATCGCCACCACATTGTTCCTCTTCGTGGTTGTCGGTGAGTGACTCGTCTTGTGGTCAAGAGTGACGTGGCTGGCGGTTCATCTCGTAACAGTTGTATCACAAGCACACTCCGGTATTTGTATCTTGGTGAAAAGTACATCAGGACGAAACGTGTCCGACAAATTATAATCTCGTTCATGGAGGAATTCTCTTGTATGTGGTCTCAAGAAGATCCTTCTAAAAGGAAAATATTCTAAGTATGATATTATTCCTCTTTGTCATGAGAGGAATATTCTTTTTTACAAAAGTTCTCGTTCAGAGTATGGGGTTACAGGAAATAGCGTCTTACAACTGAAGTTTATTTTTTGGAGGATATTAGAATATTTTCCTCTTGGATCTCTCCAAGTCATAATACAAGGAGATTCCGCTAAGGATCAGATTATATATTTTTTTTTAATGTAAAGTAAAATCTTTCCACGAGATTGTCTTATCAAATTTTACGTTGACACTATCAAATCTCGGGAAAATCGATGAAATCGATGTCTCTTAGCGACGCGAGCTTCTTTTATGTTCCTATATCTTGATATTTAGATTATTTTATTGTAATTTTAACCGTTTAATTCTAAATTAATTTCGAATGCTATACAAAAACTCATGTTTCATTGATGTAAATTCCACCAATGTAAAAATTTGTTTTTTAGCTACGTCATTTGTTATTTAGCTACGTCACTTTTTATCGCGAAGAGATATAAAACGCACAGCTGACAACAGATATCGGTGTACAAATGCACGAAAATTGTCGATACGTCCTTATCGCGTCGGTATCTGTACGTTAGCAAAGCGTTGTAACTTTGATTACAATTTTGGGGATGTAATTCGCGTCGATCGAGCGATTGCACGAAATCTACTTCAAGTTTTGATATTTATTTGTTGAATAAACGCAAATGCGTTCAATATCTGTATGTATCTGTACAAAGTACAGCATTTAAATTAAGACTCCTAAATAATAAAAAATAAAGCAAAATAAAAAAATGTTTCAGACAAAAGTTTTAAGAGGACGAGAGAAATCGATCGGTGATACTAAATTTTGCACACCGGTGCATTAATGAATCTGCAACAAAATTTTATTTAAAATATCTGCTTTTTTATAACAATCGATTTTATCCGTCATTTTACGTAGAAGTATTAATGTAAGGTTATCGGAAAGTGAATATTTTACGAGATATGTCATATTTTGTACTGAAAAGTATTAAAATAAAACGTAAGATATTTCGGAAAAAATATTTGTTGACGATTTTACCACATATTGAAGGAAATTATCCAATAAGAAATTAACAAGCGGATATTTCCGATCAAAATACGGATGAATTTTTGTATTCGATTAGGAAACATCCGATGAAAAATATCGGTTCATAATTTTTTTATCGGTTTATCTGATGAAATGCCATTATGATCGGAAGTATTCGATAAAATCTAATCAGATCGGATATAAAAATTAATCGGAATTTGATCGAAAATATCCGTTTGTTAACTTTTTATCGGATAATTTCCCTCAGTGTGTTAAGAAAAGCATATGATTTCATTAAAAAATTCAAACTGACCTTAAAAAATCTTGGCGCGTCCACTACAAGCTCAAGCCAATAGCACTATCATACATCCCCTTTAATTCTCTACCACTTTTGTCTAAAATATCTTTTTATTTTGCTTTATTCTTTTATATATTTAGAAGTCTCAACTTATATGTCATATCCTATACAGTCATATTTTAATATGAAGCTGACCTTGCACTTTTGAATAGTAGTTGCGATAAGCCTTGCTCAGTCGCTCGATATACGCAGAAGAGAATGTAAATCTTCATTAAATATTCTCCTAGACATGTATAAATCGGTTTTCAAACACGACAAGTGCGCATATGATTGCGTCTTAATGGCTAAAATGCATTTTTTATTCAAACGGTTTTTAAAATATTACGGTGGATCGAGACTGCATTTATACCCAGTCACCACTTAAAAGTTACATGCATTTATAATTATTTATATTGATTTTAACGCACAATGCTCCTGCACTTCTCTTTTAATCTCTTCAGTGGTGATTTAAAACAACTCGCGATTTCTCCTAGAGCCTATTTTCTTAAAATAAGCATATCTGGATTTCTTTTCTCACTATTGCTATTTTCTTTGAAAAACTTTGAAAATCGGAATATATTCTATCTTCACTGATACAAATTTTGCTACAAATTGAAAAAATACATTAGTCCAAATGAATGGAAAGGAACATTTTACCACGAAATTTTTCCGGAAATACCACTTCTAAGAGTTTAAATAATTTTTTTTGCTTATACCTTTGATTTAATGCAAATTTCCAAAGAACTGCTTAGAAGTTTACACACACAAATTTGCTAAAAATTACTCAGTTTTTGCTTAATTACTTCATTCTCGACGTTCTAACACGTGCACGTGTTGCAAGCAAGTGTTGTCGGGAGAGACCGCGATACGTGTGCGGTAAAGTCGTATTTGGAAACCGATCGCGCCGTTCGAAAGAACCGTCGACGTTTTTACTGGGCGGTTGCAGGTTGCTGGTTGCCTTTCTCTCGTCTGGTTTTATTTTTTCTTTCATTTTCCCTTTGTGCATATATTGCGCCTTGTATGAATCGCATCATTTCATTCTGTGCTATTGACTCCGACGTCTTTCTACATATTCTCGACTGGCTCTGCACCTACTCACGCTGCTGCCCGATCGATTAATCGGCGGTTACTTCTTTCTTTACTGTACTAATAGCCTCGTTCCCCGCCGGGCGAGGAGATCTCTCGCTCGTACGTGACAGACTGTGCGGTCTGCGTTTGTGTAAATATGTGGGTCTTCGTGTCTACCCCGAGACGTTACACACCGTGCAGACGGTTACATGCCCCGCGGAAAGTTCGCGTCATACTTACGTACGTGTATATGTGTGTGTGTGTGTGTGTGTGTGTGTGTGTGTGTGTGTGCCGCGCAGAAAAATAATTTTCCGCAATTTCACGGTGCCGTTCGGAATGATCTGAGCGTGACTGCGATATGTGCGGTTACGCATCGTGAAGAGTTGCCGCGCTTTCTTATAGGCCGATACTGCAACGCGTTGCACTGCACGCACCGCGCCACGTTGAGATCGTCGAACGGATCTTCGTGGTATCAATTCACCGTTGCGAGGAAATTTTTCTTTTCTCTCGTAAGGCTTTTCGAGAAAATGCGAAGATGAAGCTCGACTGAAGAGTCTCTGGTAGATGAATAAGATACGAGATCTGTCCGGAAAGTATCCAACCTTGCGCTATATAAAAAGAAAGAGCTACTCTGAATCAATGGTGTCCACTCCAAAGTATTCTCCTCCAGAAACCGCGACCCTCCCCAGAGCTGCTCCCACTATCTGAAGCAGTTCTGGAACTCAGCTTTTGGAATATTCAACAGCTGCCTCGTATTATGTCCTCCACACTGAGAGAAAAATATAGTTGCTTTTGGCGTCAACTATACATTTTTGTAATCTTAACCAGAAAAGTAATTAAAAGAATCATCTTTCTAATAACATTTACTAAAACAATAGTTTTCCTAACTATTTTTATGGTTAAAATCACAAAAGAGTATAGTTGACGCCGAAAGCAACTATATTTTTTTCTCAGTACACATATATCGCCAAATTTCTTTTCTCTTTAAATTTCGGAAACAGCCAGAAGTCACACGGAGTTGTATCAGGACTATACGGAGACTGACAGACTTGGGATATGCCGTGTTTTAAATTTTCGTGAAACAATTTGCAATCACGCAACTCATCGCTAGATCTTGGGTTAAAATTTTAGAAACAATGACTTTTGGGATTCCAAGATCTTTTTATTCTGGCACAATTAAACAACGATTGTCATTGATTGCAATTCGCATATTTTCGGGTGTTCTGGCTTGCTAAAACGAAGATCATTTTTCACTGAAATGCGGCTATTTTTTAATCATCTCTTTGAAATCACTCCTTGATTTATGCTTTACTCATAGATTCATCCCTATAAACCTTATGAATCCTACTAATCGTTTCCGAATGGCCAAGTTTTTGGCAAAATTTCATACAAATTCGTTGCTCGACACGCTCAGTCATTATAGTGAAATGCGACGCTCACAGTTTTGAACACACACAACTACGTATCGTTGTCGACTGAAGAGCTGCAGGGTCGCGCCGCATGACAGAAACACTCATAAAGATTCCCCCTAAATGAAGAATATTCGTCTTTTACAATAGTAAACTCAAGTACAGAGATATAGGTCGGATACTTTCCGGACAGACTGTATTTTTGGAGGAAGTACGATGAGTCGCAGGCAATAAACGAAATTTTCTGTGAATATTGCGCAGCGATGATGATGGCAGTCTTGGTCTGCTCGTAACGCGACTGAAATATCTGTAAATAATAACGTCAACAGCGCAACAATTCTCGTACAATATCTTCAGGAAATCTTCAGGAAAGTACAAATATGTAAGATAAAATGTACAATCTCTCTCGTGTATATTCTCCCCGTCTCTTCTCCGTCAGAGAGATAAGTTCTCTCTGACGCGTTCTCCGGCTAAACGTCTCGTGATGTCGCAAAAAGTGTACCATTCACCCAAGCCATAAAGTAGATCGAGAATGATTGAAACCGGTCGATGTATATATTACATGCCTAACAACTGTACATAATGTAAATAATGATAACGAATCTGTAATCATCCGCAAAAGGCGATCTTTTCTTTTCGTCGATTAACCGTTTCACACTTTTTCACGATACATTGCTGAAGTGCTTAATAACATCGTGCAATGTAACGTCCATTCTACGACCGACTACATCGTCGTTCAATAAGAGGAACGCAACAAATTATAATTTGACAACTATCGCCAGCTAGCTCATCACTATACATACAGAAGTATAGGCATTCAAATAAATGTTACTTGTCTCAAATATTTCATAAGCTTACATATTTGTTATACGTTCATCATAAACATCAAATTTATTTTAATATATTATCCAACCAATATTACTCGAATCCTGAATTCTAGTAAGTCCAACATT